AACTGTCTGTGCAAGTATGTTAAAATTGTTTCTGTAGATATGCTTATTAATTACTTCAGGCTGTAAGCAGCTGAGCTGAGCTGAGAAGCTAACGAAATAAATAAATGATGGCATCATTTTATTCTGCAAAATCCACTGTTGTTCTTGATTTATTCAAATATCTTGGAATTGTTTTCAATATAAACGTAATAATTTTTCCAGGCTGTAGACAGCTGATGAGGAACGAACGAAGTTAACAACGACGGTACCATCTTATTCTGAACAGACTGTGTCTTTTTGTTTTATTGCAATTCATAATGAGGAACAAATGTATGGAAATGTGCAGCTATTTGATTGTAAGTTGGAATGAAATCCAGGATGACATGCCATCTTTATTGTTTCAGAGTTTACAGAAAGGTGCATTTGCTTGACTGGATCGACGTCTCAGTGGCCTAATGATCTATGAGCTCGCCCTGTAACCAGAAGATCTTGGCTACGAATCCTGGCTATGGATGGGTACTGATGAAGAGTCATACATCAATTACAGTCCAGTCTTTAGAAACAGTGGAAAACACAAAGGCTAACGATAGAGTCAAAAGCGCGCGAAAACAGTGATTTAAATTTACACTAACGTTATCTTAATTATCTAATTCAATTTCAGATTTTCCCGTTGATTGATTGAACCGAAGTGCTCGCTTCCAGGTTGACATATCTGTCGGCTTCTTGTGCAGATGCTTCGACGATGCCTAGGCATGTAATTAAAAGTTAATTGTTGGATGGTGACCAGCAGTGGAATTCAAGACAACGCGAATTTCGTCCTATTCGGGACTCGTCAGCTAGTGAATGTGCCTGCATTCCGCAGTGAATGAACATCGGTGAGAACATCATCACTCAGTGAGGAATGCAGGCGCACCCACCAGCTGACGAGTTAAAAATAGGACGAAATAAGCTTCCTGGATTCTACTGCTAGTCACCATCCACCAACTAACATACTTGGTGGTGGTGATTCCTCAATAGAAAGATGAAGTACCTAGACTAGCTAACCACTTCTAATTGTATCTACCAATCCACCTATGCTTGTGGAGCGAATTATATCGGTCGTTGCTCTAGGAACTTGAATTTTCGTTCTTGCTCAAGTACATCTCCAAGTATGGCTAAGTAAAAGTGTAGTAGAAACCATCAACAGTTCGATATTAGACCATCTGGTCCAAAGCCACCGGCCGAAAAGCCAGCGTGGAAGAATCCTTCTCTATCATCTACCGGGTGCCAAATAAATTGCCAAAAACATCGAAGCACCACATGCTCCGAACAGTAGAGGTTATTGCAATTCGCATCAAACAACCAGTGCTCTGTGTGCAAAAGAAACAAGTTAAGCCCCTACTACTGTCCTTGCCGATTCAGTAGAGACGATAAATTCATGAATTTGTAATATTATCTTTCCATCTACCGAACTGTAATCCACTGATATTATTATTGGTATTGATTCGATGTTATTTAAACAACATTAATGTTGTTCATAACACTAATTCATTCATTCACTATAATGTATATATAACTGTAGAACCTGATGAAGAAGGCGTCATCGAAAAGAGTATTCTTTGTTCAGTATCGATTCTTTTGTAAATACTTAATTATTTACTATTGAATCTATTCTAATCACTTTCTGTTTGTTTTATTAAACTATTTCATTTCTAGGTTATACAATCACACATCATAAATTCGTGAATCATTTAGACAAAAAACTTTGGTAGATGTGCCCAAATTTCATTAAAATACAATCGCAAATTATAATTTAATTTTAAATCATCCTCCCTACTGTCTTTGAAGAGAAACATTATCCTCTTGAAACTCATTCATCTAATAATTAACTATACACACGTTACTCATGTTACTTTCATTGTTCAATGTGTCCAATGGATTAGTTATTTGTTTTAATGCGTCGTAAATACATCTATTCGCAAACAATTCAAATTGTCGATAACTTATTCAAAATCAATATTCGTTTTCGCTTTTAGTTTAGATGTTGATAAGATTGATTCACTTTCAAAATCCTTGTTATTTAAATAAATATATGTATGTATAAGAATGTATTTGTGAAATGAATAAATATATATTTAATTAGTTGATTATAGTCAATTTTCATTGGTCAATTAAAATTTATGTTGAAACATTGAACATTGAAATTGTAATTACTTATTTGGAATCCAGGAGTTTCCGTTTACAAGGCAAGGTCGTATACCATTCAGCCACTGGAACCCGATTCAATGATGACTCCATGAATTTTAACTTCTACCAATTCGCGATATAACGAAACCACTAGCCAATGTCATCACTTGCGAGTATTTTTCCTCGCATCCGATCTGCTGTACCCCATCTGTCTATGAGCTCGCCTTGTAACCGGAAGGTCCTGGGTTCGAACCATGGTGGTGGGTGCGTACTGCCGATGATTCCCAAACTAGGATGAAACAGCAGCTGTTCAGTACTCCTTGGCTGGTTTTCAATGGTTCTCTAACTGATATCAGTCCGTGATAAACTCGTAAAACATAACTAATCCTTACAAACCAAACTATAGAAAATTATTATTGTTAGTATCACTAATTCCTTCACTGTTACGTATTTATAACTGTAGAACTATGATTATTTCATAGATCATTGGATTTCTTCCCGGTAATTGGGTAGTCAACTAGCTTGCCTAGTAACGTGATAGTCATGATTTCGATTCCTTTTGGGTGAGATTATAGGAGTGCGTACTGACGAAGAGTTCAAAACAATGACAAAACAGCCCCTTTTTCAGTCGTTCTCTAAATGAAGACAGTATAGCTCATTCAAATTGAAAAGGGGGTTAAGTTTAGATCAATGAGAAAATAATAATAATAATAAAATTATGCATTACGTAATTGTCATCTAAACCTTACAATTTTAATGACGCATCTTCAGAAACACTCCTGTTGTTGCTGTGACAATGTGCTTTATATATATATATATATGAGCATGTACAGCTTAAGAATGATATTACTGAAAACAACGACTGCACACCGAATGCTTCTTTCATATGACTTAATGTAAACTCCATTATAGAAAAGATTTTATTTTGATAAGTCACACAGTGTTGTTATACAGTAATATTAACTGATGACCACGTTTGCAGCACAAACTTTTGCCACTGATAATCGTATACAGTCACTCACACAACTTTCTTGCTTCATTTATATACATATGTGGAATTGATGATTGGATATTTGAATAAAAATCATTATGGGATAATGTACATTCCGAAATGATAATATTAGTGTTACTGATCAATTACAATCAGATAGGAAATAAGACAGCTGGGAAAATACTGTCCTTAATAAATTTAATCCTACTCCAAAAATATGGTGGAGATATGTGGATGACACTTTCACACACAGTGTTAAAAAATGAACATATCTCTAGTTTCTTCACGCACATAAAATCACAAGAAGAGGGAATAAAATTCACATTTGAATCGGAAAATGAACAACAAAGATTGGCTATGATGTTAGATTATAAAATAAAACGAATAGAAGAAGGTAAACTGCACACTAGTGGCGTTTATAAAAGGCCAACGCATTCTTATATTGGATATTTAGACTTTAACTCATCTCATCCATTATCTATTTGTAAAGGCAGGCCCAGTTAAGCGTCTAACAAACCGAACAATAGCACTAAATAGCACAAAGAAAGACCTAAATGAAACAGATAGAAGAAGCGTCGGTATCAAATAACTATCCTATAAAATTCATTAGGAAGATCAGTAAAGGTCAAAAGCAAAATAAAAAGAATTGTGAAACTCGTAATAATAACATAAATAAGAGAGAATATAAGTCATCTACAGTTTTACAATATAAGTCATCTACAGTTATACCATATAAAGAGAGGACATCTGAGACCCTACGTGGGATTCTAAATAAAGCAGGAATTAGGGTGGCATTTAAACCTACAAACTCACTCAGGGACAAGCTCTGTAGGTTAAAGGACCCAGTGGACCCAATTAGACAAAGTAATATAATTTACAAAATACCCTGCAATGACTGTGAGGTTAACTACATACGTCAAACTAGAAGGTCAGGGGTAGTCAGATTGTCAGAACATAATAATTTAGCTAAGGTAAGAATGGTTGACCCAGAGAAGATAAGCAATTTAGAAAAAAGCTCGGCAATTGCAATGCATGCAGTAACACACAACCACACAATAGGGTGGTGGGAGAGGTTTAAAATTCCAAGAGGTAATAAAGGTAGGTGGAGAGAGATTGATTACTGAATCCTGGTTCATGGAGTGTACACCCAACACAAAACATGCAACAGAAATGACTCCACGCAAATACCAGAGATATGGAAGATATTATTACCACCAGTGAAATCAGAAGAGGATAATAAATAATCTTAAAATTCTGTTTCAATTCACGTACATCATAACATTCTAACAAATTACTTATTATAACTTTAAGAACATTCGTCTTATTTCCCATCTAATTGTATTTGATCAATAACACTCATATTATTATCTCTGAATGTACATTATCCCATATTGATTTTTATTCAATATCTAGTGAATTCTACACATGTATATAATTGAAGGAAAAAGTTGTGTGAGTAGCTTGATATGATTGTGAGCAACAGTTTATGCTGGAAAAGTGGACATCAGTTAATATCACTGCATAACAACACTGTGTGACTTATCAAAATAAAATCTTATCTATAATGAATTTATACTCTACCACAGTACCCAAGTTTTATACTTATGTGAATAAGACTTAATGTGAAGTTCTATGCAATTTCACTAACATACTCAACACAGTTCATTCAATGCGATACACTGCTGAAGAAACCCAAACCAGGAAGAAAGAAACTGTCCACTACACCCTAACTAGTTTTCCAATGATATTTTCGATTAACTGTATTTATCTCATGGTCACATCTGTACCCATTCAAATCCCTGCAATCCAACACTTGATAATAATAATAAGTTGAATTAGAAGTCTTTCATTATTCTTCAGATTTCTAATTTTTTTTTTGAATATTATCTAAATGTACACAACTATCGATTACTATCTCAAGATTTCTCCTTCTTCTTATTATTATTTCATCACCATCATCAGCATCGTTTTCATCTTTGTCCAATGCACTGGAATTTTCATTCTCCTCAGCATCATCTGGGTTCGACTGCTCACCATCCAGTTTCTTCTTCCTACTGATATAGGGCTAGAGAAATTGACACAAATCATAACAAAAAGCGGAAAATGGTAACATTAAACTTTGAACACTACTAAGTACCAACGGACAAATGACCTTGAACGCACCAATCACGTGACAGAGGTGACTTTCACGTATAATATATATATATATAAATATTCATGAAAATAATGAACATGAACTGTTACACCCAGGATAACATTCTCTGACGTGTGGTAAAACAACCTCTAATTTCTGGAATTGAGCATCAACAGAGTAATTTAACGACTTTCTAATCTTTCCTCAACTCAACTCTAACTTGAAAATATCCCTAAACTAAACCTAATCTAACTCAAACCAACCTTTATTTAGCCGTCATTAGGTTAACCTAACTATTGTTCCCTTAGGTTCCTAGTGGAATATAGGGCTTCAACTGCACGTCTCCACTTGCTTCTGTCTTCTGCTGTACTTTCCATCTGCATCCATGTTAGTCCATACTGTTTCAACTCCTCTTCACACGATCTCCTCCATGTCACCCTTGGAAGTCCCACTCGCCGCTTCCCTTTCGGGTTCCACTCGAGCGATGGCCTGACGCGCGATGTCATCCAGTGGCCTCTTCAGCGAGTGTCCAATCCATCTCCACTTTCTCCTGCATATTTGTTGAGCGATTGGTTCTTGTTTTGTTTGTTCCCATAGTGTCTTGTTGGTGATTCTTTCCGGTGGCCATCTGATCTTCAGTAGTATAGAGCGAAGACAGTTGTTGATAAAGGTCTGCAACAGGCTGTTGGAAATATTCTTTGTGACCCACCAAGTTTCTGATCAGTGCGTATAGAAGAACTGACTGACTCGACGTTTGTATTGAAAATCCGAATCATTTTGTTGTTGATGCTGAGTGAAGAAGATTTCCTCAATTAGCATATTTTATTCATGATTACAGCATTATTTATCAGGTTTCACTAAGTGGATCACAGAGCATTTCAAGGTCATTAGTGAGGTCGCATTCCACTGCCACTCACTGATGCTTACAGTTTAACTTGACCAGAAAAATATTATTTTTCAACTTTTTGTTAGAAGCGGTCTGATTGGTTTTGAAATCAATCACAGGCTGATAGCAGTTAGAGGACGGTTGAAAGCCAGGCAGCATTAGACAACTGTGTTGTATCCATGACCCTACAGAGTGTCGAATCTAAAATCTTCAGCCATTGGGACGGATTCCAGTGGCCCATATATTCAGCCAATCTCATTGCTGATTATTTGTTCTTCTATCCAAGTTACTGAACCTTGGTGGTCACAGCTTCCTCCTAGAACTTCAGGCTAATTCATCGTGTAGTCAGTCTCGAACTTAGAGAAGTTAGAATTCATGGGACATTGGATTTCGTCCCATTGGCTTGCCTCGTAACTTGAGGAATACGAGTTTGCTCCCCATTGAGATCATAGACACCTCTGGAAAGTATTATACTCGAGTGAAACAGCTGTCCAGTAATGCCTGATTTTTAACGGCTCTTTAAATGTGATATTAGTTGACGATAAAACTAAGAAAATATTAGATCGACCATCAGAAATCAATATTTTCGTGTTCATACAATGAAAAGAATGTTAGAGTTGGAATAAAGTTAAAGAAGTGGATTTGAACAAATGGTCTGTATATTATTGAATTTCTACTTTATTGACTTTTTTATGAGATCCACATGGTGATCAGACTTTGAATATGTCCTATTCACCTTTCATAAGTGTAATATTGTGTTTAAATTAGACATGACCTTGGAATCTTATTGGTTGTTGATTGTTTTAATTTATCAACAATATTAGCATCTCTCAAGGTCATTTAAAGAATATATATTCGCAAGCGCTGTCAATCGTTTTCACTGTTGATACGACACAGTAAAAGCTCACCATGTCAACAATGTGTCTTTTCTGCCTGTCTTCCTGTGTCGCGTATTCAGTGGTATCGTGTCGCGTTATTGTTGACGTGGTGATTACTAACAGTGGTTAGAACAACAGGCTCATGAATCGACTGGTAGGAACTACAAGTGAAGCATTAACTGCTAGGTTTGAGTCTCAGTGGGAACAAGATCAGTGTCTGTGTCGAACAGGTATTTTCAACTGACAAGTCCTAAACTGGACGAAACGTACGTCCTGAATTCTACTGATAACCACTGCTAAACAAGTCACTTTGAGTTCTTAGTACATATAATATCGATGCTTGCGTTCTGATCGTTACTGTCAGATATAACAAGGAATAAACATAGGCATTAGAATTAAAGAGCTGTTACCTTTAGAATTACAAATGAACAGACCAAGTCTTCATTGACTTGCATTACTGCACCAGCATTGTCGAATTCGCCACAGTAGTTTGCTGCACTGAATACAGTTACAACCTTATAAAACAAATATACGTGTATATATAAACTAAGTAGAATTTGTAAACAAATAACTTCCTCAAAAGTAATACAAGTTTACTTAAGGAATGTTAGCGCTTTATGTCCTTCAATGCTTGCCGAAACACTGAGAAAAATCCAATAAAAGCTGAATATTCATATGCGGTGAGGGCTGTCTGATGGCCGAAATCAGCAGGCAGCAATTTACTTCAATGTTTACGTCGCAAATTGGCGTCATGAGAAAAAACAAACAAGAACAAAGACTAATTCAACAACCAATCACAACAGACTTTGCGTAGGCGGATACGATTAGCAGATTTATGGTCTGACCTTCAAAGAAATGGCCACAAAGAGATGACGGAATGACCTTCAGCTGGAAAACAACCAATCAGCATACACCGTTTTATCTGCTAATAATAACGAATAATAATTTACATAAAAATCTATAAATATTTGACGGTTCCCTAAATAAATGATGTGTAGCCTGACTGTTTGTTGTCTTGTGTCGTTACACACAGATAAAAATGCGGTGAGAAATCTCTCATTAGTCTATAACCTGATCAGGATGTTTTAACTTTATAAAGTTCGGTCGAATAGCCATTAAGGAAGGTATTATTCGAATATTGATGAGGTGTAGATTCTGTCAAGGATTACAATTAACCAGAGAACGATTAAAATCTAAGCAGTATTGTATAACCGTTTTTCTCCAGTTTGGTAGTCTTCACCAGTGCACACCTACAACCAACCCTCCCTGGAACCAGAGCTGGGATCTTCAGGTTATATGGCAAGTATGCTTACCATTCAGTCACTGTGCTTAGCGTGTTCATTTGTGAGGCAGATTCTGATATTATTATTATTATTGTTCCCTTGAGTTCCTAGTGGAACACAGGACTTCAACTAAACGTCTCCACTTGCTTCTGTCTTCTGCTGTACTTTTCTCCTGCATCCATGTTAGTCCATACTGTTTCAACTCTTCTTCACACGATCGCCTCCATGTCACCCTTCGACGTCCCACTCGCCACTTCCCTTTCGGGTTCCACTCGAGCTATGGCCTGACTGACGCGCGATGTCACCCAGCGGAGGCCTCCTCAGCGAGTGTCCAATCCATCTCAACTTCCTCTTGCATATTTGTTGGGTGACTGGTTCTTGCTTTGTTTCTTCCCATAGTTTCTTGTTGGTGATTCTTTCCGGCCATCTGATCTTCAGTAGCATAGTGCGTCGGTGGCAAAGTGGTTAGGACTCTAGCCGACCATGCACATGGTCCGGGGTTCGATCCCCTGCCGGCTCACACCCGATATCTATGGTCGGCCTGAATTTGGGCTACCGATATCCATGCTGAAAATTCCACACCTGTACTGAAAATACGGTGTGGAATCAAGCTGTAAATAAAAAAAAAAAGAAGACAATTGTTGATAAAGGTCTGCAACAGGCTGTTGGAAATATTCCTTCTGACCCGCCAAGTTTCTGATCAGTACGTATAGAAGAACTGACTGACTTGACGTTTGTATTGAAAATCTGAATCATTTTGTTGTTGATGGTGAGTGACAGAGGAAGATTTCCAGATTGGTTTCAGGTTGATGAATGTGTTTCTCGCCTTCCCGATTCTCGATTTGACATCCTCGTCAGTTCCATGTGCCTGTTAGTTGAGACGATGCTCCCTAGATAAGTGAATGAAGTAACCTCTTTCAAATCCCTCCCGTTGATGGTGATTGGCGCTGTATGTTGCTGCTGTTGTTGTTGTTGATTGGTTATTTTCATAACCTCCGTCTTGTCTATGTTCACCTGGAGACCTGTCTTTGCTGCTTCTTCGACCAGTTTGCCGGTCTTCGCTTGTAAGTCTTCGATTTTTGTGTGACATCAAACATAAGTCATCAGCGAAATCCAGGTCTTCTAGATTCTTCACGTCGGTTCGCGCGACAATAGACATAAATTATCTGTGAAATCTGAATTCTCTACAGTCATTCTGCTAATCCAGCATAAGGACGTCTGTATACTACCTATTATAAATAAATACATTATAATTACGTTCTTCAGTAACAATGCCTTCTAAGTGCAACACAGGGAATCAAGATTTCTGAAGTTTCAGCAATAATTGTGTTCCTTCTTTCTAAGGGGTAGGTTTACTAACCTGATGCCTTCTTATCCAGGCTTGCTATAATCTAGATAACGAAGATGAGATCTAATAGTGTGTCAGCTGCTAACTGAACCTTGCCCTCAATCATTCAATCTTAATGAACACTGTGATACAGTACCAAAAGGTATCCAAAATATACATATTTATATGATCAAAAATCTAGTAATTCACCTTTTTATCAGCGAAGAATTCATATCCATCTTCGACAACTTGATGTGCTCGTACAATTAAACTCACATTACAGTCTTTCATAAATCGATGTACAGCATCTTCACCGAATGTGTACGAGACGCCTCTCTCATTCTCTTTCCATCCTGTATATGACTGAATTGTAAAATAATAATGCAAGTATTATTAATAGGAAAAGGAAAACATACTTATAATTTATTGTAAATTAATAAAGTACACACAACATGTATTAGTGTGATGGAATTATGGGCTGTAAGATCCCTCCAGAACAATCTATCTTATAACAATATTGATACTTATCAATCAAATCCCTGCAAACCAATGCTTGAATATCGATGAGATGCTCAGTGGTGACTGGCCCTATTCAGGTAGGTAGTCACATAGAGTTCTAGTGGGAAGTCGTGACCATTAGGGTGCAGCAGGTCGGGTGTGAGGACAAATACTCGTCAACGATAACAATCGCTGGTAGTCGTGCCATATCATGAATTGGCAGAAGCTGGAATTCACGGGCTGGCCATTGGATAGAATCCCGGTGTCCTAATGGTCTGCGAGCTAGTTCGCCTTGTAACCAGAAGATCCTGGACTCGAACCCTGGTGGCGGGTGCGCATTGATGAAGAGTCCCAAGCTAGGACGAAATGGACAATTGTCCAGTACTCCCAGCTGGTTTTCCAATGGTTCTCTAACAAATGTCAGCTCATGATGAAACCCTGTAACCAACCAATAAAATCCCTACAAACCAACACTTGAATACCTTTTTCTCCTAGACTGTATGTCAACTGTTGAATGACTTTGAGTATTCGATCTTATGACTATTGAACAGTACCACATGGATCTAACCGCGAATAACCGTCTCCTAGATATTTTTGGAGGGATTTGTGTAAAGACAGAATACAAGGGTCAAGCAATAGATCGTTTATTGAGAAAATCAAGAGATATTTATAGATTTTTATGTACATTATTATTCGTTATTATTATCAGAGAAACAGCGTCTTCTGATTGGTTGTTTTCTTGCCAAAAGTTGTTCTGTCATCTCTTTTTAGCCGTTTCTCAAAAAGTCAGGCCATATATCTGTGAATCGTATCCGCTCACGCTGAGTCTGCCGTGATTGGTTGTTGAGTTAGTCGTTCTTCCTGTTTTTTTCTCATGATACCGATTTGAGACGTAAACACTGACCTAAATTGCCTTCTGCCAATTTTGGCTACCAGACAGCTCTCAACATATTTGTAATACTCCTCGTAAAGCTTAGTGATATGAGCCATCGCGTCGAAACTCGATCACTAGCCATTGGAAGGATCCTTTAACTTGGTAGGACTGTCAGATACTGCGGCCGAAATGCCCACGCTTGATTTAATTGCCTCTATAGCCCTGTCAGTCACCTCTGCTAACTCTACTAAAGCAAAGTTATCGAATGGTTCTAAGATTCCCTGAAATGACCGAGGCAATCCTTGAAGCCAAATCTGCTTATGGAAGGCATCATTTGCTGAAGCATTTGAGTGGGCTTACGATCGTCAAGGTGAGCATCACGAAAGAGTTCTTGCACTGTTTGTTGATCTATCAGTGCAACTCCCTTGATTAAAGCAACTTTGAAACGATCATACAGGTTTGAGGAAGGAACGTCAAGAACGTCGGAATCTTCCTCCACGATACTTTTGAGAAGGCTCACAATAAGCAGGTTAGCATTAGTTTCTTATGAGTAGATATGTCTTAAAGCAAACTGAGCCTCCACATGACTGTACCATACAGAAGGAAAGTGTGTCCAGAAAGTGGGAAGCTGCAGGGTAACCTCCATCTGCTGAAGAGAGCCGTTTCTGGCCATCATTGCGATAAGTTAGTACGATATAGAAACACAATAATAAAACAGTACAAATATAAACAGAAATTTAGCAACAAGAAAAGTTATCACCCCACGTTCAAAAAATATAAATGAAAAACGAAATAATCAATATGAAACAGCAAAATATTGACACGTTAGTTTACAAATAAGGCACACAGTGAAACTCGGGTTCACAAAAGAAATGCAGGTAGTTATCGTGATTACTATATCACCGTATACCAGCCTTACTAAACGTAATGTGCCTAACTATCACTTCATCAGTACGCCACCTGACTTGTACTCACTGATAACCAGACAAAAATGAAAAGACTCAGTTATTTAGCAGGATACACTCTTCTGAGCAATTTATTTTAGCAGAATATAAATGTTAAGGTTATTAAGGGAGACGATTATAGGGCTTATCTGGCTAGTATGTCTGAGCTACGGACTCCAAGAAATGCGCATGTTACCAGCACAGAGTGGAAGTGCCAAACAAAACAAAAATGAAAGTGTAACGACAGAAGACAAGGGTCAGGCAACAGATCGTTTATTGCGGAAATCAAGAGATGTTTAAAGATTTTTATGTACATTATTATTCGTTATTATTAACAGAGAGACAGCGTCTTCTGATTGGTTGTTTTCTCGCTGAAAGTTGCTGTGTCATCTCTTTGTGGCCGTTTCTTAGAAATTCAGGCCATATATCTGCGAATTGTATCCGCCCACGCAAAGTCTGTTGTGATTGGCTATTGAGTTAGTCTTTGTTTTTGTTTTTTTCTCATGATGCCGATTTGGGACGTAAACATTGACGCCAATTGCTGTCTACCAATTTCGGTTAGCAGACAGCACTCAACACAAAAACACCTAATCAAGAAAAGTTGGCTTAGCGCCATCTGACATGATTGCGTTAAAACAAACAACTCAAAACATCCAAAGTGCACTAGAGATTTGTGACTATGCGGATCTCGTGAACTTTTTTGGTCAGCTATACAATAGGACACAAAGACTGATCTCGCCCTGTACTAATTTCAAATTATTTTTCAGAATAAATGCGTAGAAGTGTAGAGGTTAATGATACCAGAGATTAGTGACTGATAGTTCCATTCTGAGTGAAGATCATGTATATTCCTCGAAGATCAGGGTGAGGATTTCGTGACAGAACGAACAATATACACTTCTGAGTAGTCAGAAACTTCAAACATGTTGCAACAATGTCTAGAGAAGTTAATTGATGAATGGTGACTAGCACTGGAATCCAGGATGCGCACTTAGTCTTATTTGGGACTCGCATCATCTGGATGTTCCTACATACCGCAGTGAGTGATGATGTTGACGAAATACTCATCCTGGATTCCACTGCTAGTCACTATCCACCGAATTAACTTATAATGACATTCCCAGACATCGTCGAAGCATCTTCACAAGAAGCCGACAGACATGTCAAGCTGAGATAGAGCACTTCGGTCCAATCGGTCGACGGTAAAATCTAAAATTGAATTGAACAATGCCTATAGTTCTATGTAGTTTGTGCCACATAAGTACATAGGCTAAAGAAATGACGGATAGTCAACTTCTCCAGGGCTTATCACTTTACAGGAATGAGTGACAGGTGCTACATTTTGAGTTGAAGTTACAACAGTCAAGCTTCACGTCAACTGCCTTGAAATTCATTCAGTAAGTGCATTGAAATCCAGTGACCTATATTAATGTGTGATTTTTCATCTCAATAGTATCGTATCTAGTCTTGCAAAAGACTTTAATCGAGGAAATAAGAGAAATACAAGGTGAATATATGGAATAGTGGATTAATGTATAAGTACACTGACAGAATACTATTAAACCAAATTAACACTGTGCGGTATTGTCGACCTTTTTCTGATGTTTAAAAGATTTTGTTGTAGACTGAATCCTATTGATTTTTGTACACACAGTTTAGGCTGTATGTGATTAATCCAAAGTGCTTCCATCACCTTCAATAACCTTGAATTAGTTATGTGGAATAATTGTAAAACAGTCATGTCAGGTCATAAAATCAATATTAATGACTGTTTTACAATTATTTCACATAACTCTAATTCAAGGTTATTGAAGGTGATGGAAGCACTTTGGATTAATCACATACAGCCTAAACTGTGTGTACAAAAAACAATAGACTTCAATCTTCGCCTACCCTGGACTACTTGACCTATCTAAATATGATTGGTCACTAGTATGTACTTTTGTTTTTATTTAACTGAGTAATTGTCATGACCTTTATTTTATTAACCATGTTAGTTGTAAAGCGGTTGTAAAGAAACTACGAAATGATATCATCTCGCGAAATTTGTCTTCTTAATGCCTTATTCAAATTTATCAAAGGGACTAATTGTTTCACTTGAATCCTATTAAACAGGTTTGCAATGTGGCTACCATGCCACTAGGTAAGTCACCATCACGGTGCACACTGATTTGATGATATTAGATGGTTAGAGGCAATCGGTCACAGGGAGCCTTGAGCCTAGGTTGCGTGCTAGCTGGCACTCATCATCAGGGCGTACCTGCAACCTTCCTTCAAGGTTACAGTACTATTTACTGATGACATTTCCAGGACAATTCAATTCTTAAAAAATTATATTTGTAAAATCTCAGCGAGATTGAAATGAGTAATTCCAACGTTTCGTTCGGCAATCTAGTCCGAACTTCTTCAGGGAAATTAATCGAAATTAACATAACTTTATTTTTATTTTTTTATATTTTTGATTACAGCTTGATGCCACACCGTATTTTCAGTACAAGTATGGAATTTTCAGCATGGATATCGGTAGCCCAAATTTTGCAGGCCGACCATAGATATCGGGTGTGCGTCTGCAGGAGATCGAACCTCGGACCATGTGCATGGTTGGCGAGAGTCCTAACCACTATGCCACCGACGCACACAGAGGTTTATATATAAAAGGAACATTATTTGCTGAGATTTTTCAAATATAATTTTTTGCAAATGTCTACTTCTCACTCGGCGCCCAAATATTTTAGAACTGTTCGGTCAAATCTTGACGACAGTTCATTTGAATTATTTTGCAATCGCATTAAATTAACAAAGAAACTGTGTAATTGGAACAGTCATCGTGTTTTCACTCTCCGTTGTCTGCAACAGAATGCATATCCTAAATCCGTAGCCATCGAGTCACCTGACAACTCCTGTAGGTCGAATAAAGCAGCTCAATCTTCAGAAAGAAGACAAAGTAATAAGTCTGAGAGGGTGCTTATACTAAACTCTAATCCTAAAAACCATAATTTTGAAAATACGTCTAATCATAAAATTCTAAATACTAACAGTGTTGAACAGACATGAAGGCGTGATGTTGGCTGATGCATAGGAAATCCTTATTAACAAATAAAAAACAAATGGACATGTATCACTAATTAATCATACTTGGTCAAAGTTCTCGACTGTCCACATCTTCTTATGGAGACGTTAAGAAATATTTTACAATTGTTTACCCACACACACACATATATATATATACACTCAGTTTAAAGTGCTTAACAAAGGTAGACCAATATTTGTAAGTCCGAGGTCAAATTTTGATCACAGCTCATAAAATTTTGTTTATTATACTTGTTGATACTTGTTGAATGACTCATGATTGGAGAAAGTTTTTGAAAACCAGTGATGTTCCTTTTATATATAAACCTCTGTTATGTTAATTTCGATTAATTTCCCTGAAGAAGTTCGGACCAGATTGCCGAACGAAACGTTGGAATTACTCATTTCAATCTCGCTGAGATTTTACAAATATAATTTTTTACAAATGTCTACTTCTCACTCGGCGCCCAAATATTTTAGAACTATTCTGTCAAATCTTGACGACAGTTCATTTGAACAATTTAATTCTGTTCATAATCATAACCACACAACTTCCAATCTTCGTTTGTATAGATATTTCCAGTATCTTGTATCCTCTGATTTTAAAGATGGTAATACTTTCCGCATCTCTGGTATCGGTGTGCTGTGTCATTCCTACCGCACGGGTTGGATATAGATCTGATGAAAAATCATTCAATGATCAACCTTTTCCTCAATTGAACTACATTAATTTTTAAGACTACTGTTCTTATACATCCTGCTGTGGGTTTGTGTGTACATACACTTGAGTTGCTGAATTTTTCTCAAAACTATTCATCATTGTGAGATCAATGATGACATACCTGACCACTACCGATCTAATGATCTGATCTATTTTGTTGACCTCATATTCCTTAGAAGATATTTTGTAGATTAAATTATTTTATCTAACTGGGTCAGTAGGGTCAACTAGCCTACAGAGTTTGTCTCTAATTGGGTTTATAGTCTTAAGTGCCACACTAAATCCTACGTAGGTTTTCAGATATCCCTTCTTCATATTAGTAAAACTGTATATAACGTAAATTCTTTCTTATTGATATTATAGTTCATAGTTTCACTAATATGGTTTCCCTTCCTTGTGAATTTTTGGGATTTTCTTAATGAATTTTAATGGGTTATTTATTCTTCTGCCTGTTTCATCCCATTATTTCGTTTTTCAGATGTATTTGCTACTTAGAATTTTTGCTTGGTTTGTTAAGCACACTCAACTAGGCCCGCCTTTATAGACGTAAGATAAGGTCAGTTAAAGTCTGAAGACCTATTCGGGACGCGTTGGCTTTTTGTAAACGCTGATGCATAGAAACTCGGTGGTTGCTGACTAGCAGTGGAATTCAGGACAACGCGCATTTCGTCTTCTTTGAGACTCCTCATCTGGATGTACCTGATTCCCCAGTCAGCAAAGGAATCCCCATGGAGACGCAATCCCAATACCCATCCTTCCGAATACCAAAGAGTTATTCACTAGACTACTTAGATTATGAGGCCCACCTCATGTGCAACAGTCGTCAGTTATTATCTGATTTCACAATGTTAGGACTTTTCGGTTCCAAGTGTGGTTGGCAGCTGGAAGTGGAATACAGGATACGCATTTCGTCCTATTTGGAACTCGTCATCTGTAAGTTTAGTGCATAGTTTGCCTTTCCCTGTTAGTTTTATTCTACAGTTTAACATAGCTAATTCTTCCTGTCCAATTTTTGAATTGATCAGTTACCTGATAACTTTTCATACATTTAATCCCCTTAATGAATTTGAATAAAGTGAGAACTGCAGTTTTTGCAGAATAAAGCGGTACCGTCATTTATTTCCTTGCCTTCAAATCAGCTTCTTACAGGCCACAGTCATTATGAAATATATTTACAGAAACAATTTTAGCATACTTGCAGAGACAGTTCATTTTAAACAAAAATCAATCAATATATGCACACGTTAATAAAAATAATATATACCTAATATTATACACTATTCTGAACAGTAATAATCACACACAATGAGAACTTTCGGCATTATGTAATCAGATGAAAGAGAGGTGGAAATATCCAGTTACCAGGCAGGGCAAAGAAAGACTGATAACTGCTTCTTTCTGAACTCACAAATCAGATTTCAAGCGTTTGATAGAGATCGCTTTAGCAAACTTGAGGAGAATTGAACTCTTTTGCCTATTGGTAATTTCGAACTACCTTTTGATGTCCACCTCATGACCCATGTCAAGGAGATACCTGGCGATGACACTGTTTAAAGCATTTGTTCCCTTGAGACATAGGCGTTTTGGTACATGTTCAGAAAATCGTAGATATGCCCTTCTTTCTGTCCTTACAATGTAACTGCTCCCGCAGATGCATGTAAATTTGTATATACAGTTGGATTTCACATGGGAAGGATATCTATCGATTTTCGATTGCACCAAATAGCAAGTTGCTCGATAGACGTGGACGAGCTTAGCTTCAGAATAGGCTATGGCTAGCGACGTACTCAGTCTTCTGTTGAACATTGCTGCAATGTTGTCACCTTTATAATCAAGTTGAATGTAGATTGGCTTTTTCTCCACTGTGATATGTTTTACATTTGAGACTTCAGATCTTCCATACTTGTTAACGAACCTTTGAGAGCATATTTTCGTCGCCCTATAGTAAAGAGTCTTGTCTGGTGTTCGTTTATAGCTATTTGAACAAAAACTATTCAGATGTAAGTATTGTCCTTTCCAAGAAGGCTTTCGATAAATTGACTTTTGAAGACTACCGTCTTCTAGGCGTTTCATGGCAATGTCGAGGAAGTGAAACTTTCCATCACTTTCATGTTCCATAGTAAAATCAATATTGGTATGTGCGTCATTAAATAATCTGAGTAAGTTGGGAGCATGACTTTGATTGTAGCACACTGCAAATGTGTCATCGACATATTGACAGTAGGAAGTTATTTCGTCGATTGGATGCTTCAACTTTGTTCTTTCAAGATTGGACATGAATATATCTGCTAAAACAGGGCTAAGTGGACTGCCCGTAGCTACACCATCTATTTGGCGGTAAAGAGTGTTGTCAAATTGGAATTGCACATCCATGGTACACATAAGGAGTAGGCGTTTGAATTCCGACTCTGGGAGTGGGAGAAGATCAGACTGCTGACAAATGATCTCAATAGTTTCGTTGATTGGAATCACTGTGAACAAGGATGTTGCATCAAATGACGCCATGAACTTATTTAAAACGTTCATGTGATTCACACTTTCGGCAAAATAAAATGAGTCTTTCATGATGTGCACGGATAGCCGTAATTGTATTATTATATTATTACTTATACTTAATAATGACTGTGGTCTGTAAGCAGCTCATGAGAAGGCAATGAAATAAATAAATGACGGTACCACTTTATTCCGCACAAACTGTAGTTCTCGCTTTATATGATAACAACTGGAACTAGAATTCCTAGGATGGTGGATGCGTACTAATGAAGAGTCCCAAACTAGGACGAAACAGTTTTCTAGTACTCCCAGGTTCTCCAGTCGTCCCCTAACTGATGTCAGCTCATGATAAGATCCTCCATTCATTCAAAAAACATCCTCACCAAACCAATACTTGAGAAATATAATCCCTAGGATTGTCTATACATTATAGACACTACTACTCAACTTTACTGTCTCATAATAGAATTCCTTTATAGTTTTCCCTCAGTTAAGCAATACTCAATACCATAATCTACAAAACAAATCATCAAACTATACAAAGTAATCTACAAAAATGTCTTTTTCCACAAACATCATAACTTACTCCATCAGGATCAGACCATAATAAATCACAAATAACTCCCATATCAGGAACTTCAGTTGGACGTCGTATTTCATTCAACTTGATCAATTGGAATAAGCATGAAAGGAAAGAAATAGTCATCAGATTAATTATCACTAAGACAAAGATGTTTTAAAGATAGGGAATTTAGAACGGGGAAAGGATAAAGACACCGCATAGCAATGATAAACATTTCTTTGCAGAAATCCGAAATTCAGACGACTAAATGGTTTCAAGATTGATAGCGAATTGATCGATTTCAGTCCGAGAACCATCGGGAAACCATGTGGTGCTGAGAAGCTGTTCCCGCCTTCTTTGAGACTGTTCAACAATATACACACACAGGATCTTCCAATTACAAGGAGAGCTCGATGACCATTCAGTCACCAGTATGGAATCCAGTGGGAGGCCCATCAATTCCAACTTTCGCTCATTCGTGCTGTATAACTTGACTGCCAACCTCTGTCATCAATAAGTATTTGTCCTCACACCCAACTAAGTATACCTACCCCCCCCCCTCAACCACGCTTGATAACGACTTGCCATTGAAATTAAAGGTATTTCACTAGTGGGCACTAGATCAATTCACAAGTCAGTTCCTGATCAATCGTAGGGACAATCAAATCCCTAAAATAACAAACATATGAAAACCAAATGACTTTTTCAGTAACCTTGTAAGTTGGCGTTAACACATCTTTTAAATCTGTCTATAAAACTTGTTTGGCGGAGAGTGTATCCTAAAGTTTGTGGAAGCCCTAGCTGGCAATTAGAAAGTTTAAACCACCTTTATGCATGCTCTGAGGAGAACTGAGCTCCTTTGTCCATTGAGAATTTTAAAGGATTTCACGATTTCCACCTCATAACCCATGTCGAGGAGACATGCGGTAATAGCGCTATTATAAGAGTTTGTTCCCTTTGAACACAGGCTTTTCAGCACATGTTCAGAAAATCGGAGGTCTACCCTTCTTTCTGTTGTCCCAATATAACGTCTCCCGCAGATACACGTAGACAGTTGGAGTTAACATGAGAAGGCTATCTGTCAACTTTTGACTGCACCAAAGAGCATGTTGTTCGATGGACGAGAACCTCAGCCTCAGTGTGTTCGTGGTTGTCGTCTGGGTGAGCAGAGTAGATTATTGACTTTCCAGTTGACAATTGTGATAATCCATATCCATTCCTACAGCTCTCACAAACACCTAGCACTTCTATGCAATATTTTCCCATCTCTTTGGCTACCTGAACAGCCTTCCCAGTCTCGTGCATTCTACGGACATCCCACGTACCCATTCTTATTCTTGCTTTCATCGAGAGCAGACACATCGTTTTAATGGCTTCACGAAGGCTGGCTTTCACCAGCCCGCTGTGTCATTTCGCCTGTCCAATTCCAGCAAAGAATAAGTTTGTTGATATTTGAAATTTTTGTATTTTTAATATAATTTCTGTGCGTTCAGGTTTCTCAACCCTCCCTCTTTACGTGGGCTTGGACCCGACTAGAAGACTAGCAAGCCAAGTAACTAGGCGATGCTATCGTTTGGATTATTGCTCCAAATTTCTCAGAAGAAATCTACTTTGATAAAATTAAATACTATTTCAAGAAAGTTAATGTATCATCCACATATCTCCAATCTAACTTATAGTCCTCGTAGGTGAAGACGCTGACAAAACCAAGTCTTCTGAACACCTTGAGCTGCAATCTACGGTTGTTTGGCATGCGATTCACTCCCGCCAAATGTAAGATGATGTTACAGGATGGACTACACTGACTCCTAGTTTAGAAATAGGGAGTGAAGTGGTAGAGCACGTTGACCGCTTCACTCATTTGGGAAGTTGCATCAGCCGACGCCAAGAGGTTGATCGCTGACAGGATCTCAGCACGGACACAGAGGGTTAGTTTCGCATATGCCGGTTAACACAATCTCTAGCGTAGACGTGATATCCGGCTGGTTGTCAACCAAATGGCGGGTGTACTGCTCAACAGTTCGCTCCGTCCTCCTTTATGGTTGTGTGCGAGACATGGCCATTGAGAGTGGAAGACATGGAAAGGCTGGCTAGCTGTCTTTGATGACAGGTGTCTGCGTCGTTTCTCCCGTATGAAATGGTGCGTCGGTGGCACAGTGGTTAGGATTCTCGCCGACCATGCACATGGTCCGGGGTTCGATCCTCTGCCGACGCACACCCGATAGCTATGGTTGGCCTGCAAAATTAGGGCTACCGATATCCATGCTGAAAATTCCATACTTGTACTGAAAATATGGTGTGGCATCAAGCTGTACCCAAAAATTAAAAAATTAAATTAAAAATAATGGGGTGAGCAATATCGGGGTTAGGCGTCAAGTGAGTGCTAGGTATTAATATATGTGTAAAACTTGGACACTGTGGTAGTAATTAATTCCATATTTGTTTGTTTATTAGATATATCACACAGTGAAACAGTATTATTTACTGGATGACGTTTCGAACAAAATTTATTGTTCATAATCATATCAATTGTAATCACACAACTTTGACACTTGAGTTTTATAGTTTTCTTTGTTTTCTCCTATTTGTCGTAGGGGTAGTAGAATTTTCCAGATGTCCGACTGGACAAGTGTTGAATCATTCATATTACATGTATTTGCAGTTGATTCGATAAACAAAGCTTCTGTTATCAATCTCTCCCTCCACCCTAGTGTTACATTAGATTTTACAACTGTCATCCTATTCCATCCTATTGTATGGTTGTGTGTAACTGCATGTAGTGCTATAGCTGAACTATTCTCTAGATTTCAAAGAAAACTACAAAACTCAAGTGTCAAAGTCGTGTGATTACAATTGATATGATTATGAACAATAAATTTTGTTCGAAACGTCATCCAGTAAATAATACTGTTTCACTGTATGATATATCTAATAAACAAACTGATATGAGTGCTAGGTAGGTGGGAAGCGAAAGCAATCAACGAGTATGCGAAGTTACATCGATTGAGGTGGTTAGGACATGTATTACACATGCATCTCTAGCCATCGCTTTCCTCGACCAGCGGGAAACATTAGCAGAAATAGGGTCATGCTAGAAAAGAGCCAGTGGCGGTCAAACCAAAACACGACACCAGTCAATGAAATCCACTACAGTTAGTTTAAGCCAGCCAGTCAATTAGGAAGATGTAGGTTTCCTGGTTGGGGTGCTCATGACGGTAAACACCAATGAAGGCTGGAGACAGTTGGTGATATGGCTCAAAATCCTCGTTCTCAATGGCTGGCGCAGATGCATCCACTCCTTGTGACTTATAATTTCCAATGAACCTATTCCGTTCTTCGTTATTACTATTCCTATTGTCCCTTATCTCCTGTCTACTGTCTCTATTTTGCATTTATTTTTACTTTCTTCTCCCGCGTTTTTTGCTACATGGGGGGAGTGTGACGACTTGAACTGCTGCACGTCGGTGCAAAGTTCTATGTCGAAAATAGACAGGACAATCTACCTTATGACTAGAAGCCTTATGATGCCAAGTGTGTCTCTGAATACCTCTTGAATTATCCTGTTTAAATTATTTTTATTTTGAAATTCAAAAACATTAATAAAAGGGTTCATAGCACAAAAAAGATAGCAAGAATAATACAGAAAATCTTAGCGAAGTACAACAATTTACCTGTTCCAACTTCTTCAAATCTGGTGACAGTCCACCATGAGCACAGAACATACTGGAATCAACTATTGCAGCTTTAATATGAAATAAATTAAAACACACAAATAAAGAGAGAGGAGGTCAGTAAAACGAGAGCTGAGCAACTAAACTTAACACTGATTATATCATATGAGTTGATTTTCAACCTACCCAATGGAAGACAGTTGAAACAATCTGTAAAAACTTTCCACAGCTTTGTTGAATAACGACGTTTACATTCATCATAGAAACCGTATATGCTAGGAGAATTATTGAAACAAAAAAATATATATTAGTAAAAGTAAATGTTCGATTATGAAAACATTAATAAAAATCAATTATTTCCAGTTAAAAACGTTTTTGAATTCATTGCCAACGTAGATGATATCAATGTAAATGGTAAGCAAATGCTTTCCTTAGATGTAGCATCACTGTTCACTAATGTACCACTTATGGAAACTGTGGAATTCATATGCCAACTGATACTAGAAAAACAGTTCGACATCGGAATTCCAGTTATTAGTCTGAAAGAGTTGCTTTTAAGATGTTCTATGAATGCATACGTCACATTCAACAACCTTTATTACAGACAAATCGACGGTATTGCCATGGGTTCTCCATTGGGGCCAATTTTAGCAGATTTCTTTCTTGCTAAGCTTGAAAGTAGTCCGTTGAAACAAGTAATACATAAAATTGATTCTTATTTTCGCTATGTTGATGATACGTTTATTATTCTTGATGTGAAAACTGACAAGAATGAAATGTTAAAAAGTCTAATGATGCACATCCATCGCTCATCTTCACTTGTGAAGAAGAACATGATGGTAGACTACATTTCCTTGACGTCCAATTGAGCAGAAGAGAGGATGGTTCACTCAAGAGAGATGTCTATAGAAAACCTACATCTGTAGGACAATATACACATTTCCTCAGTTTTGTACCAATCCGATACAAAGTCAATTTGGTCAGATGTCTCACGAATAGAGCAAGACGTATGTATCTGTACAGATGACTTCCTATAAAATGAGTTAGGATACATCCAAAATACGCTGGTCCAAATGGATTATCCTAGTACATTTGTAAGGAGACACATGAACACCGAGTAGAATCAAGAGAAACTGACAACAGTTAAAAAGAAAGAACTGTTCATGAAACTGCAATTTAATGAGGACGTGGCTAGCGAAGTCATGCATCTGAGATTATTGAGAGCGATAAAACGGACTTATACTGCCGTCACCGTTTGTTTGTCATTTTCCAGCCGACCAATTACTATTGCTCAAGTGAAAGACAAGCTACCTAGCTGTGCCACATCTATGTGTATCTATAAATTTAGTTGCCTTTATGGAGAGAGCTATATAGGGTGAACAACTAGACAGCTGAACAAACGCATTAATGAGCATCTTCCTTCATGGTTTAGAAAAGGTCAAGTGAAATCTATAAGAAGTTCTATTTTGTCTCATTTGATTGATGATAGCCGTGGCCAAGTGGACAAAAATAGTGCCTTCAAAGTTATCTATCGTATTCCATCGAGCCTTTCGAACGGAATTCGAACCCACCTTTTACACACATAGCCGGAGCTGCTATGGTAACTAATTCGAGAGAACAATCCTAGTTTGTTCCACCTTTGTCTGGCCCTTAGCCTAGGTGAATTCTATTCAAAACCCTCCCACCCTCTCTTATTTTCCATTTCCTTGGGGCTTTTATGATGTATATTTAAACTCTGTCTACTACATCTTTAGTATTACGTAACTTTTAAGATTTGACCGAATTTATTTATTGAATTGTCTACATTTTCACATATTACTAATTTCGTTATTCTTATCGCCACCTGCATAAACCTTATTATCAATATTTTGTTATCATCATAATCATCGTTGTTAATTACGTTCAAAACATTTATCACATAATAATAATAGTAATTATTATTATTATTATTAGATCCACAAAATCACCGACATTGGTTAAAAATTGTTATATATGAATCTATGTAAATTAGAGTAAAGCCTGAAGAAGATCTAAGTGAAAACAGCAATATTGTTCGCCTATATGTCTTGTTCTAATATCACTAATAATGGGAATATTTAAAGATTTCCAGTGAAGTTCAAATATAACTGAAGTTATAATGGTATATACTACTTGACTGGTTGATTTAAGTAGTTGGTTACTACTTATACCAAGCGGTGGCGATGCATCAGTGTTGAGTCGTAGCCGAAGATAGTCTGGGGTTCAATCACCAGCTGATCCACTCCTTAACCTCACTTGGCTGACAGTAAGCCAAGTTGAGAGGGAAGGCTGAACATGAGGCCAGTAACTCCATCCCGTAAAATAAGAAAAGAAATAACACAACTGTTACTGAAATTTAGAGGCTCAAGCTTGAAATTCTATTTAAAAAACAATTAGTCCGTTTTATAAATTTGGATAGTGTGATTATTAGAAGACGAAGATTATCTCAAAAAGATATGTGATGCATTTGAGGTATATATTCCGAACAGCAATCTGATCTCTCACACATTTACTTATCAAGTCGATAGATATGAAAAGAAATTTGTTAGGAAGAGGCAAAACATGCAATTATCAGGTCATCAGTCAAGTTATTATCGCGTTATTAACAAGTCGTTGACATGCAATTGTTCCTGCTTCTGATTGGACGCTTGCACAATTCAAACTCTCAACCGGATTGGTTGATTTCCAGTCTACCTTATTTTCTGTATAAATACAGTCAATTTTGTCATAATAAATGAACCTGGTTTTACAGTTGATTCTCTTCGTGTTCTGCTTTACCAGTTAAGTGGGTACTGGTCAGTAGTTAAGCAGTGACCGCGTGACAAAGGATCCAGCATCATAACAATTAAATTAAACAAATTGACAAAATGAAAAAGATTTAAGAATGATTAACACAACGTTTGGTAATACAATCAAATAACGATTGCTAAGGCAGGTGGTTTAGGAGGAATAATAAACTGCTTTTGAATACACAGGGGGTTGGGGGCTTAAGTTTATGGATAACTAAAGCCTAGGCGTATTTCAATAGGCGCCCTCTCGAACACTTTTATGGATAACCTTAAACGCTGAGTTAACATCAGTCTTATGGTTCATCTCCATTAGATGTTTAGTTATAGACGAAATTGGCAGTCTGATACCTTCATCTTAACCTACCTTGGTAATCCTTATTTGACAGGATTACCGAACGTTGTGTTAATCATTCTTAATTCCTTTTCTTTTTGTCACTTTGTTTAATTTTATTGCCCTTAATATCTTTTCAATTATATATATCGACTTGATAAGTAAATGTGTGAGGAATCAGATTGCTGTTCGGAATGCATACCGCAAATACATCACATACCTTTTCAGATAATCTCCGTCTTGAAATTCTATGTTCCACTGGGAACGTAAAGGAATAAAAAAAACAACCAGTACAGATTACTACACTGGACAGCCACTTCGTATTTTTCGGAGCGAGTACATCACTGATAACCCCGGCCGTAATCAAGCCAATCGGCCCTGAGGTGTTCAAAATCACTAACAACCTTCACTGGTTCGTGTGAGTAGTATTCAACTACTTATATCGGTTAGTCAGTAGTATATAGGATCAGGCATTTCTGCTTACCTACTTGACTGCGATTTATGATATCAAGCAGATCATATAGCCTTCAACGAAATGTGTAAACTACAAATTGCAAGTCTTAATAGTGAACTTCTACATTGACAGACACCTACAATGTGCCCAATAATACCAACAACGGAAGCAGAACTACCAGTGAACATCAACCCCCTCCGACGAGAACAGAAATCCTGAAGGCAATCAAGATGCTAAAAGCTGAAAAAACAGCAGGACTAAATGGAATCCCAGCAGAAGCATTGAAAATGAACCCACAGACATCAGCAGACTTGGTGTGGAAAGAGGGCAAGGTACCTATGGATTGGAAGACAGGCTACCTATTCAAACTGCCAAAGAAAGAAGACTTAAGTCAATGCAGGAACTGGTGCGGAATTATGCTTCTGTCTATCCCAAGCAAAATGCTGAGTGTCATCATCCTGGAGAGAATCAAACACGCGAACCTGGATGAAAAAATTCGACAGTAACAGGCTGGATTCAGGAGAAACAAGTCATGCATTGATCAAAGTTTGGAATGGCAGTCACCTCTCTACCTCAACTTCATCAACTTTGAAAAGGCATTCCACATCGTCGATCGAGAGATGATTTGGCAACTACTTCGCTACTACGGTGTGCCACCGACAATTATACATCTCATCCAACAGCTATACGACAATGCTGCATGCCAAGTAATCCACAACGGGAAACTTACGGAATCCTTCGAAGTGAGGACAGGAGTAAGACAAGGCTGCTTACTATTGCTAGTGATTTTCTTGATTGCAGTAGATTGGATAATGCGACAGACAGCGGGCAATGAGGAAACAGACATAAAATGGACTCACACAAAAAAATTGGAGGATCTGGACTTCGCCGATGATATATGTCTGATTTCGCACAAACTTAAAGATATGCAAGTGAAAAGCAACAAGCCTAGAAGGTGTGAAAATACACAAAAACAATCAATCACGTCCAAGGTCACCGGGAGTTATGACTAATGGTGAACTGATGGAGAAATCTAAAAGTTCACTTCATCAAATTGAAGTATGCGCTGAAGATGTTGCCTAGCAAGTAGGGCGATGAAAGCTTCGCAAATTAACTAACTAACTATCCAGCTCAGAGAACACAACCACATCAAAAACTCCAGAGTTTAAAGATATATATATTATCTATCTGCTGTCAACTCACCGATTTATCCGGCTGCATTCATGATTTCCACGTAGTACAACCACTTTGTCAGGATATTTCAATTTATACGCTAATATAAGAGAAATAGTTTCTAAGGATTGTTTACCCCTGAAATATATATTGAACAAGAAAAGAAGGAAGAAGATATGAGCTCTTGCTTTATGCCAAAAGAGTTTTTATCCACACTGTTAAGTGATTTCTTACTTCTCCCCAACGAGATTATACTCCTTACAGAAGGGTTAGATAAGATGGCATATGAGTAAAGCACAGGATTGGTGCATTGCTGATTCAGTGGCAGCACACTCACCAAACACACACTGGAGATCTGCTGTTGATTCCTGATGAACCAACTCTGAAACATCGCCTAGTTTATCAGGTAAGCCCAGTAAAGGCTTGAAGCGTTATGACCCACACGAAACTCAAGGAATGAAGAATAATAACACAAGACAAAAATAGTAGTTAATGTTTCAGGTTTGATCGGTGATTGATATCAACTAAAAAACCCACTGAGAACCAACAGAGAGTACTGGACAGCTGTTCCGTCCTACTCTTGGACTTATCAGTAGTACGCACTCACCAAGATTCCATATTTGGACTTTCTGGTTGGTAGTCAAACTCGTAAACCATCCAGCCACTGGGACCATATCCAGTAACCAACCCATTAATCATAATTTCTACCAATTCATGATTCTAGCGCTACCTACTACCGACTGTTATCATCGGCAAGTATTTCTCTTCACTCCCGACTTCTCACTGTAAGTCCAGTCAGCTTTGTCATGTAGCCAGCCAGTCGCTAACCAGCCATCAACGGAATAATTTTCCAGAGCTATTCTGCAGAGATCTGATTTGTTACAAGTTTGACCATGGATTGGTATCAGTTGGGGAACCCCTGGAAACCATCAGGAAGTACTGGATAGCTGTTCTGCCGATGACATTGGCCGAGGCCAGTAGAGCTAAAATCACGAACTGATAGAAATTAGAATTTAATGAAAACAAAACACGTAAATCAGCGAAGAGTCTCTTTTCGGAGGCGAATTCATTTTCTCAGCTGTACAATCGCATATATATGTGTTATTTTGTATGTATGTGTACATCCAAAATGGATAATCAATAAGATTCATCGACAAAAATATCAAACCAAGAATTCGGAGAAACGAAACTTTAATTGCGCCTAAAATGATACTCCACATGAACTTGGATTTCAAGAGAGATTTAGCAAGCAATGTTCTCAAGAGAAGGATCACATCATCTCTGAGAAGAACATTCTTTGCAGCAAAGCTAAGAATAGTGTTCTCCAGTCGCTCATTGATCTGCAGAAGCCTCAATGAGAAGATTCCACATCTGACCACTTCTATGTGCATATATCAGTTCACCTGCTGCTGTGGAGCCAGGTACATAGATCGTTCGACGCCCACCCTGTCCAAGAGGATTCAAGAACACTATCCAGCCAGCATGGTTGCGAAAAGGCAATATTGGTGCAATATGGTGTGCGATAATTGAACACCTGGTTAACACTGATCATTCCATCTCAACAAACGCCTCATTCACAGTAATCTACAGAGTTAAGAATAACCTACCAAAGGCAATGCGGTTTTGTCTTCTTTGTATCGCTGAAGCTCTGGCCATTCACATAGAATAACCGGAGCTATGCATGCAAAAGAGGATTACTCAACCACTTCTACTGTCATGGTAACAAGTATTTTTGATTTGATTTTCTGATTTTGATGGCTTAATTTTGTTTCTTTGCCTGTTCTTTAATTGCTTATAATTCCTGTATTCATTTAGAACTATTACGTAATTTCGTATTATCTACTTTGTTCCTATGTGCATCCTGAGTAAAACTCACTCATCAAACTATTTATATTATTACATAACTTCTTTTAACAACTGTTTGTGACAACTCATCACCTTTGTTACTACCATAATTTCATTAACACCTAATTTTCTTGACTTGCATAACCAATCTTCACCTGTTTAGTTAAAATAACCATAACCAATTGTTTGACAAACTTAATGTACATATACATACAAAATAACACATATATATTTGCAATTGTACAGCTAAAAAATGAATTCGTCGAAAAGAGACTCTTCACCGATCTACGTCTTTTGTTTTCATTAATGCCTGGATGGGGATCATCCAGAAATTGGAATTCATCGGCCACTGGACTGTATCCCAGTACCTGAATGGTCCACCTGACGTGTAACCAAAAGGTCCTAGGTTTGAAACCCAGTACGCAGATGGTTGCCGAACTAGGAAGAAATGGTTGAAGAGTACTCCCAACTGGCTTTCAGCTTCTCTCTGAATGATATTTATATCAAGTTCCTACAAACTTACTCTTGAAACGCAGCCAATTTGCTTTTCCAAAACTAAAGAAAAATGTACCAAATCTGAAAGCTAATCAATAAATGAGAAGAATTAGGAATGGTCATCACTTGATACTGTTCGGTGTGTCAGTCGCAGTCACAACTACGGCGTACAACTATTCTATCAGTGATCAGTTGTGTAGAAGAACCATTGACTTCCATAGTGGATAACTAGAGAATTTTTGAAGGGTGTTGTCAATGTTTGGTGAACACTGAAAATGGTCTCCCTTAGCAGTTGACGAGAAGGCCCTCATTGCTTAATCGTGTACTGGGTGACAGAAGATTAGAGAAATACAATCAGAAGTATTGCTGTATATTATAATATATCCTTATTTCTCGATAAACTACCTAAATTTGCCTCTTCTATGTGTATCTACCAGTTTGACTGCAGCTGCGGAGCCAGATACATAGGGCGTACATTTAGGCAGGTTCATCATAGTATTTCCGAACATCATCCAGCATGGTTAAGCAAGGGACAAACAACATCTATTCGTAGTTCTATTTTAGCACACCTTGTTGATACTGAGCATAAGGTTGATGTCAATACTGCATTTAAAATTATATTTACCGCATTCCGACTAATCTTAACTTTGCTCTACGAGTTCGTCTTCTACATACAGCTGAAGCAATAGGAATCCACCTGAAGAAGAAGCCAAGCCTATGTGTTCAGAAGAAATTTATACAGCCCCTTTCCCTTACCATGGCCATCGGTACATGAATGTATAAACCGGACTACTTCGCCCACCCCACTCCCTTTAAAAATTATAATTGTCCAAATTATTTCATTCTTATCACCACTTTAACCTTAGTTACAAATTGTCATTGTCCAAATCGTTTTATTTTCTTTAACAAGCTGTTACATAATCAACCTATACACACACTTATTCCTTAATTACTCTTCATTTTTCCAAAATTATGCATTATGCAATCTACGTGCTGGAACAATTTCTACCTTTAAATTGTGTGTAATTAATTTTTTTCCTGAATTATCACCCCATTGACATGTTGACACTGACTAATTATTGTTAACAAACATATCGCTGCCAACTGATTGGGAAATTGTTGTATATTGTAATAAAAATGTTACACATAATATATTAGAGTAGAGTCAGAGTTGAGGATCTAACTGAAAAGTAAATATTTCTTCGCTGCTCAATCTTTCTGTTTTCTAAATATCAATTTTATCGGAGTCTGAGCATCCTCTTTACACACACAGCTCTCCTTTTTGCATCTCATCAAGTAGTACTAGAAAACTGTATGCCTGGATGACTAGGTGTGATAGCATATTTTGAACAACACATTTAAGCGAACAGTATTGTGGTTTCAATTAGATCTCATCAGGCTGAACTCTTGTAGGCCTACAAAACCGTACAAATGCAAATTCAAATATAAACTAATCATGGTGTTTTGTATATTATATGAATGTGTATATAAACTGTGCAATTAGTCATAATAATAATAATAATAATGGTTCCACCAATAACAAAGATGAGGGAAAGTGAGACGATCTGTGATAACAAGAATATGGAAAAACGGCATGATTAAAACAAACAAATTTCCAGCCAGACATAGTAGTCGATCAAGGCTAAGAAAAACAAATGAACCGATCACGTAATGCTAGATTGTAAGGGAAGTAAATGAAATACGTTTTAATGAAGATGTGATAAGATTCAGGGATGATAAGAGAGGAGTTGGAAATATACGTAAGGGATGGTGGAGGAGTTATCAGTTGGTTGGCCATACGAACTTCTTTTGAATGCATAGTTTAGGCTTAATAGTTGTTCGAATGTCTATCGCCTCAGCTGTGTGCAGTAGACAAATCCGAAGTCTACTGGAAAGATTCGGCCGGATACGATGAATCACCACCTTGAAGGCTTTCATTTTCTCCATTACATGAACACCATCAACTAAATGTGACAAAATGGAGCTACGGATTGTTTTTGTCTGTCCTTTGCCAAACTACGATGGGAGATGTTCAGTAGTGACACGTTAGCTAAGCTGTCTAGTAGTACGCCCAACATAACTGTCACCGTAGGTGCAATCGGACTGATAAATGCACATAGATGTAGTTAAAACTATATCATATTTGGTTCGTATTTTACGTGATGAGAATTCCACACAATACCAAACCTACTGTCTGGGATAAGGCCATTATTTCTATTATTGTTATTGATAATAATAATAATCTAGTTTATTCCAAAAACAGTACTTATAATACAGAATGGAACTCTCAGCATTTGTCACAATACCTTGCATCTGATTCACTCAAAATATAAATGAAATCAAAAATTTAAACAAAATTAACCAGAGGAATTTGTCCACATTTACGATATAAAGTCAGAAATATTCGAAGTACGAATTGAGAATAATAACTCTAGTAATAATAATAATAATAACAGTGAGCTTTTCTCAAAAAGTATTGGCGATTCAGTTTGAAAATTTTAGCATGTTATAGATTATTGAAACTAATGTTCTGTTGATATAGCAGCATGGTGAGGGAAATACAAAATTAACAGTTATAATACAGCTTAAATGATGTTAAGACTTTTGAGAAAATAAACAAATAAAAACAAAAAATTGAGAGGATTATAAATATAAGTACAATAATAATAAAGGTTGATGTTGTAAGGGTGGAGGAAAATGGTTTATTTAGTAGTGCTAAGAAGATTAGTTAGTTGGTTCATGCCTGACACTATTTTCATCACATAAAGTACGTGCCAAATATGGTGTAGTGGAATTGTTATGCTTATACGCACGTGCATAAAGTCTTTTGAAAAGACTTCTTGTTCTACCTGAGGAGACAAGGTTGGAGCTGCCTGTAAAGTGGGTGCTTATAGTCTGACAAAATTCCTTTAACGAATTTGATGCATGACATCAAGTGCCTTTTAATGAAGATGTCAACATTCTAGGAAGTATGACATAGTCTTCTTTAAGCAATCCAGGAAAGAATAAGGGTGAACAGTAAAGAAGAGTGGGTAAGATGCACGAGTTGACAAAATGTCAGAGGAGGAGTGGTTGAGTTATGCCTGAGTGCCTTAACTTCATAATGTATAGTCAGACGAAATATTCTTTTAGAAATCGCTTAGACATAGGAAGACCAGGATAGGTCCGAAGAAAGAATTAATCCAAGATACTTAACTTCAGACTTGATTTCTATATCCTCACTATCATCAATTTTGCAACGGTCATAGGAACCAACAGCTTCATCATTTAACTTTCTTTTACATCGGAAACTGAAATTAGCAGTCTGACATTTGGAAGGATTTAGTTTAAGACAGACCATTAGACGAAGACCATTTGCTGACTCCTGATAGAAAGCTGTTTATCTTAGTACAGTCTAGCTGGGAGTTAACAGACACTGAAATAGTTAAATCGTCCACATACTTAATTATCAAAGTTCATTTCATCAGGGGTGAGGCAAGTCATGCAAGAAGAAAGAAAACGGAAAAGGAGAAAGGACAGTGCCTTGAGGGACACAAACCTCAGTAGGCAGTCATGAAGTGGACGACTTCCCCTGACATACAGTGTACTGTAGGTAATTATACACTGACGAATGTTTTCAAGGCCAATTATGCACCACTTAGTTTTCTTTTTGGTTCTTTTTGTAAGTGATTTCGGATTCCGATGATGACCTTCTTCTGCTAAAGCTATGAAATCCTCACAAGCCTGATCTTTTTCATTTCTTCAGGTCCTCGACAAGAACATTGTGCTGCAAGCTTTGAAGTTTCAGCAGTGGTGACAGTGTTTCACCTCTCAACCTTCCGTTTCTCATAGACTTAATATCAGCTGGTGAAGTAGGCGAGGTCCTTCAGGAATGGGCAATCCAACCCTGTATGGCAATCTGTGTGTGGTAAGCATTCTTTTTGTGGATCACAAATTATCATCTTTCGAGTAACAAAGAGACAGTCAGTCGATATACATTCACATATTATAAAAAAAATCTATAAAATTAAAGGAAAAAATATTTAAACAAAAAAATTAAAAATCACTTACTAACCGATCAACATAATCACCAAGAAATACATATTTCTGATCTGGAGGTTTACCACAAAGTTTAAAATATTGCAGTAAGTCACCATGTTGACCGTGTAAATCTCCAACAATCATAACTGGTGAAGATGCACTCACTAGAACAGGTTCACTAATGAATAGTGCTCGTGCTGCTTGAGCAAGATCTAATAACTGTTGCTCTGTAATACCACGCTACCACGTAAAACAACCAGAGGAAAAGATTTTTAAAAATTATTATTTCTTATAATATATATATATGTATTAACCATGATTAGAATGCAAGACTTGTGTTCCCACTTCATAGTTGGGTTCATCAGTGGAAGTAACAGCTAGACTACTGAGTCCTGAGAGCTATCCAACGTCATCTCTGGAAACTTGTGTATTACCACGCGTTGTTTTTGCTTTTGTAAGAGTTCATTTTCGAAAAGAGATCAAGTATCTGATGTAATTGTGTTGTCCGAATTGTTTGGTTGGTTGGTTTAACTGTGAAGCTTTAATTGTCGTTCTAGACAGCATATTCAGAACTTACTTTCATGTCTGCTGAGTTTTCTCAGCCGGATGAAATTAAATAATGAGAAATTAATAAGTCTCAACAATTAGGAGAGTTTGTTAAACAAACCTGAAGACTTGCAGGCAAAACCCGATAAACTAGCTGAAAAAGCAGGCAGGCGGTGAAGACAGGAATCCTCGAGGTGAAAACAGAGAAGACGGAGGTAATGAAGATAACCAAATAAACAGGGAACATCAAAAACAACAACAATAACCATCACCAATCACCACCAACGGGAGAAATTTCATAGAGGTAGCTTCCTGGATTCGCTTATCTGGCCAGGAAGCACAGTTTCCACCACAAACAGTCGGACAGCACAGATGTAGATGTCAAAACCAGCCAATCGGAATTGGAAAGGCAAGGCAGTACAACTTCATCAACGTGAAACCAGTTTGCAAATCTTCTGTGCAATCATTCAGTGTAAAGAAGAAGATTCGGACTTTCAACATAATTGTGAAGTCAGTCAATTCTTCCATACGGGTGAGACCACCGGCCGGCCAGAATGAATTAGCAACAAGAAACTTTGACGGGGAACATACCAACAGGTGAGAACCGATTGTTCAACAAATATGTAGGAGAAAATGGAAATGGATGGATGGTGCATTCGTTGAGGAGGTTGTCGAATGGCATCGTGCGCAATGCAGGCAATTGCTCGACTGGAGTCTGAATGGGAGGCGACGAGTAGGTGGACGGTGCGAGGTATATATATATGGAATAGTATGGAATTTTCAGCATGTGATACGGTTAGTCCAAATTTCGCAGGCCGACCATTGATATTGGGTATGCGTCAGCAGGGGATCGAACCCTGGACCATGTGCATGATCGGCGAGAGTACTAACCACTGTGCAACCAACGCATGAATTACAGTAGACAATAACAATGACTTTTCTTCTCTCTGTGTGTGTGCTTATGTTAAAGTTTGACAGTGAGTGGAAATACTTAAGTACGATAGTATTGGTGTGTAGGATTATGCGTCACAATGGATCAGATATATGAATGAATAAATAGAGGCCAACCTAAAGTTCAATAGACGACATGTGTGAAATAGACGATCGGAAAATAAAGTACATTCGGAAATGTAAATATGTAAATATAATATGATGGAAACATAGGATGAGTGAAATGTTGTCAAAATAATAGACTAGATGAAACAATTTAAATATGTCCAAACCAAGTTCACTTTTAACGGTTTGACCAAATCCCTAAAGATTCTCTATCTAATTATGTCTATAAAATAAATTGCTTAGAATGTGATGCGATATACATCGGACAAACATCGCGAGAAATCAAAATCAGAAGAAATGAACACCGTAGAGCATCTCTTCGACCACCAAGAAATCCAACTGAACTAGAAAAACTTGAAAATTCATCAGCCATAGGTGGCGCTCTACACGCTATAGAATCAGGCCACAAAATTGATTTTGACAATATTGCAATAATCCAGAAAAACTTCAGAAATCACAAAGAACGTCTCACATTATCAGAAGCACTTCATCCAAATTTCTTGAATAGGAATGATGGACTGAAACAGAATCTGACCTGGTTACAATACCTCCCTCCCCCATCAAGTGACAAATCAACACGAATGTGATAAGCAATTTTATTATGTAAACACACACTGCTTTTATAATTTTACACACTGATCAAATCCAACAATCCACACTTGATTTTGTTATCTTTACCAAATGACCAACTTGACAACGAAAAATGCCCCCAGACTGACAAACGGTGATCAAGTTAGTAAACTTTATTTTGATATCACAACAGATGTACTATTACCTTTGTTATTTGGTTTAGGGATCTTCATTGCTATTTTTACTTTCAATATGTCCCTTTAACTTGACCTATGTCTATTTTTCACCCCTTAACTCTTTGTTATATATACGCTGAGTGGATTTTGTAAATTCCGGTTTAATAATACTTTGAAAAAGCTATTAGCATTAAATAGCGAAACGTCAGTAAAAACAACTATATCTTTTTGTTTTTCATTCATTGGGAAATACAAAAACCTTTATTATAATAGATGAAACAATGTTAGAATATGATGGCATAATGTAAAATGAAATGAAACAAAAATAGAACATGAAATAAAGAAGGATTGCATAGTAAAATCAAGACCGTGGGGTAGTAATGAAAGAGATCGTACAAATTGTTTACTTACACAAAGTTCCGGCTGGTTCTGTTATGTATTGCTAAAACCTCTGCTATGCAAAGCAAATGCACTTGTGTCCCTTTAGGAAACATTTGTCAGGCTTAGCAGACTATATTGAACTATATACCAGTTGTTGTGTGGTTACTATCTACAGTATATTGCAATATCGATTAATTAATACCCCTACTTTCTCCTTTGCTCAGCCGAACAGGGAGTATTTCCACTCACTGTCAAACTTTAACACACACACACAAGAAAACTCAATGTTATTGTCTATTTTAAATCTTATATATATACGATTGTACAGCTATGAAAATGAAACCGTCGAAAAGAGAATTTTCTCCTCAGAATTCTTAGTTTTTATGTCTCAATGAAGATTATTAATTTAGTTAAAAAAGAATGATAGATGTAAATTTGCGGAAAGCACTGCTGAACTGATGTCCCGTGCATACTTTGTCTGAATGGGGTGATCATAACATCAGTCAGTGATTTCTGTGACTATAAGCAAACCTCATTAGCACTGCATGCAGGAAAGTGAATTATTCTAAACACTATCGTAGGACTTAATCTGCACTCAGTCGGTTACTTTCCTAAAATATCAGCTTTAGTGAGCGTGGAACTACTTCAATTCTCTCTGGGAAGGAAGTTATTGTGGACGTGAGTAACTGAAATGGGTCATTTTTTCATATTCAACTCAAAGTCAAGTTGATTCTCCCCTTAATTTTTAAAAGATATCTAAATGATAAGCCCAAATTCAATAACTGAAACCGTCATCATCATCATCAAACCTTCAGTTACTTCTCTTGTTGAATTCAATTTTAGATTTTCCCGTCGATTGATTGGACCAAAGTACTCGGTCTCAGGTGGGCATGACACCTCCTTGTACAGATGCGTCGACGATGTCTGATCATGTAAATTGATGTCTATTGGTGGACGGTGATTAGCATTGGAATCCACGACGACGCACATTTCGTCCTATTTGTGACCAGACATCGTCGAAGCCTCTGCTCTAGGAGCCGACATGTCAACCTGAGACCGAACACTTCGATTCAATCAATCTACGGTGAAATCCGGATTGAATTAAATAATTAGTAAAACCCATTGCACAAGACATGGCTCTCATGACCCGTGAGGTCTAGTGGATAACTTTTAGGAGTTTGAAATTGTGAGTACTGGGTTTGCGCCTCTGTGGGAACAACAACACTTACTGAGGATGCAGGTAGGCCTAAATGACGAGTTCCAAATAGGCTGAAATGCGTGTTGTCATGGATTCCATTGCTAGTCACTAGCCACCACTTAACTTCGCTTATTCCTTTAATCCCAAATAATAACTGAGGCATAAAATTATTAAGTGGACGAAATAATTAAATAAATAAACTGAAATGCATTCTACTTAAAAAGAAATTATTCAGTAGTGTATACCATTGTTGCTTTGTGACTACCACTGCCGACTTTACGTTGAGTGTCGACGACAGCTTTTTCAGTCAACTCCACTGGTAAATCCTTTTTTGCATAACTAAGCACCTCAATCAACCGATCCAAATCTAATTCTTCCTGTAAATATAAGAGAAAATATTTTTTTAAATACCTTTAACACAAGAATAACAAACACTGAACACTACAAGGAAATTAACGCAAAGTGTGTTCCGAATTAGATAACTTACTGACGTCAAAAAGAGTATCACTAGAAACCTGAGAGAGGTGAATATACATTCTGATGGACTGTTCAGTAGGAGATAGGCATGCCCTTAGCGAGGAATGAACTCCAAACCCTTTGATCATCCAGTCTCTGAGACGAAATCTTTTTTTATTCATTATCGTTCTCAATGGAACATTGGGCTTCAAGCTAGTGGCTTGAAGTTTCTTTAGAAGTGTTTATTTTTACAGGATGAGGTTGCTAGCCTCATGCCCAACCTTTCCTCTTTACCAGCATTATTTCTGGCTTAGCGATGTGAAAGAGTGCGTCGGCCGGGGATCGAACCCCGGGCCATGTGCATGGTCGGCGAGCATTCTAACCGCTGTGCCACCAACGCACCGAGACGAAATCTAGTGGCTCATAAATTCTAAACTTCCGCCAATTTGTGATACATAGTGCAAATTTTGTTATAACGATGATTCTAGCAAACGTCTTTGTCATTCTTAGTCTATATAACAGTGAAAGAGAATATGAGCTGTAACGTTGTTTATTTATTACAGGTATTCGAACTCCATCAGTCAAGTATGTCAGGTGGTCAATACTACGTTGTTTCTGTGCACAGCAGCACCCTCTTCTCTTATAGTATAAAAGTCAGGAATTAGTTCTTTCATTAGAGTAGGAATGAAATAATAGTGAGGCAGTGCACTGGATACAGAACTCCGCCACCCACCCATCGGAACAAGCTGGATTCAGGAAAGGCAAATCATGTGCTGATCAAATTGCTTCTCTACGCATAATCGTCACAGAACAATGCATAGAATGGCAGTCAAACCTCACTCTACCTCAACTTCATCAACTTCCAAATGGCCTTCGACAGACAGCGTAGACCGAGAAGTAATTTGGAAACTACTTCAACACTACGGTGTACCTCAAGTCTTTGTCAACCTCATTCAACAGCTGGCTATATGACAGTGTCACGTGTCAAGTGATCCACAACGGGAAACTCACTCAGTGAGGCGTTCGAAGTGAATACAGGAGTAAGACAAGACTGTTGTTTATTACCACCGATGATATTCTTAATTGTGGTGGACTGGATTACGCGTCAAACTGTAGGAAGTGAGGAAAGAGGACTAGGCTGGACGACCGATAATAAGACTCTCGAAGATCTGGATCTCGTAGATGATTCATGCCTAATGTCATAGAAACTCGAAGACTTGCAGGTAGGCGAAAACAGGACTGCTGGTGAACATAGAGAAGATGGAGGTGATAAAGATAACCAATCAACAGCAACAACAACCAGCACCAATCACCATCAATGGGAGAGCTTTAACAGAGGTTGCCTCATTCACTTATCTAACCAGGAAGCATCCTCTCAACTTCAGGCGGAACAGACAAAGACGTCAAATTCACAATCGGAAAAGCAAGATACGCCTTCATCAACCTGAAGCCAATTTGGAAATCTTCCACATAAGGAACAAGATTCGCATTTTCAACACCAATGTGAAGTCGGTTCTTCTATACGGGTTAGAAACTTGCACTGCGTGTCACGAAAAGGATTTCCAACAGCCTACTGCCGACATTTATCAACAGCTGGCTGCATACTGAAGATCAAATAGCCGGCCAGCTGACCGGCCAGAAAGAATTACAATTATGAGACTGGCTGTGAACGAACCAACAGGCGAGAGCCGATTTCTCAACAAATAATTAGGATAAAATGCACATGGATGGGTGAGGAGGTCGTTGAATGACACTGGGAGCAACGCAGGCCATCACTCGAGTAGAATCCTGATGGGAAGCGACGAATGGGTCATCTACAAGAGGGTGATATGGAGGAAATCATGCTATGAGGAGGTGGAGGAGATGAGAGATTATGGTCACTCGTGGAGTCATCTAGCTGAGCAATTCATCAGAAAATGGAAGATGTGGAGAAGTGTTGTTGAAGCCATCTGTGTTCCACTCAGGACCCAAAGGAATAATGATAAAATAAAAATTAAGACAAAAATTTGGTTGCATGTTGATTCAGGCTATTGTCGAACTTTTAATCATCATGATGTGGTTAAAATTTGTTGGTTATTAAACGGAAGTATAAAAATTGAATAGAATAATGTCCCAAACTGAGTAATTATTGATTTCCAAATTTCACTTGTGATGCTTCAAACGAAAAATTGAGAATTTATCATCTCAGTCAATACTGAACCACCCTGCCTGGTGTGAGGACAAATACTCATGCTAAAATCATGAACTGGTAAAGTTCAGAATTAATGGGCCATTCAGTTGGGCCCCAGTGATTGAATGGTCTCCAAAATTGACTTGTGATCGAAAGGTCGTGCGACAGAAACCCGGTGGCTGCATCCTGAACTATAGTTTAATAATTCCCATTGTAGCATTAAGAACACAATACTCAGCGAAGAGACTCTTTTCAACGAATTTATTATCAAGCTGTACAATCGTATATATATGGACGCTTTCCACGCGGATATGAGAACATATTCCAGCATGGTTCTACAAGGGAGAAAGGAAGTGTGTGAGGAGCTCTATTTTGGAACACCTGATCGACTTCTGTCACTCTGTCAACCCTGACCATAATTTTAAGATCATATATAGAATCCATGCTAACTTGTCACATTTTCTTCGTTACAGACTTTTAAAGACAGCTGAGGCTTTGGCAATTAATGACTTTAAGTCAGACCTTTGTGTACAAAAGAAGTATGTACAATCCTTACTTCTGCCTTGACCGTAGACGGATAGACATTTATTTATTTCGTTTATTTAGTTATTCTATGTACTTTTCCCTTGTTACTACGATTACTATTATTATTATTATCATTATTATTATTACTATTCTCACTCTGAATCTTTTTCACTTGACCCACTTGACATTTTAAACCCAAAATTATTAATTTTTATATTTTTATTTTTACAATATTGAATTCTATCTTATCAAATTTCACACCATGTTATGTAACATTTTATACTCGTCTACTAATCTTATAATTATGTACCCTTTTCCAAAATCTATACACCTTATGTATTATTCTATTTACGACATTTATTATTATTTTGCCAGTTGACATTAAACTATGATTATAATCACAAATATTTTAATTGCATTTCATACTACTACTATTATTACTTCATGTATTCACACCTTTGAATCAATTCCCTCACCGGATTAATTGTTATAAAAACCATATATATATGATTGTACAGCTTGATAATAAATTCGTTTAAAAGAGTCTCTTCGCACACTGAACTGTCAACAGTTCCCACATTAGGACAGAACAGCTGCCCAGTAATTCCCGGTGGCTTTTAATGGTTCTCTAACTGATATCAATCCATGATTAAACTTGAAAAAAAATTAAATTCCTGCAAAAAAATTTTTTGGAAAACACTTATAATTATTTGTGAATAATAAATGCTCTTGTTATATGATTCGTCTTTGTTGTTAGGATGTTGACGAATATCTCAAGCATGCCGAAAACCCAATCGCTTTGCTCCTTGGAATTTCCCGCTGAGATTTAAACCGGAGTCACTTAATGCTGTAAGTCTCAGATACATTACAACTGACTCGTCTCTAGCTATTTCAGTTTCACAGCAGCATTTCTGACTAATGTTTTAGGGATCTATTCAAGCCGATACTTTCTTTGCGAAACTAGAGAACAGGCCGTTAAAAGATTTAATTGTTGAATCAGAATTGTGCCGTTCGTAAATGGAAGATTCACTTTTCGATTATGAAAAATTGGGATGAAGCAAAGAACACCCTTAACAAATTTAAGGATATTCATGCTAAAATAAATTTTACCATCGATTAAGACAGAGACTCTTGTATTTCATTTTTAGACGTCATTATGACTAGAAAAGAGGATGGTATAATAATAAGAAGTGTATATAGGGTCAGTATACTCATTTTTTCAGCTTCATGCCCTTGAATTACTAACGCAGTCTTACAAAGTGCTTGGTACACAGAGAAAGAACAGTCTGTTCTGATGGACGTCTTAATGAAAAGCTCAACATTATTAAACAAGCTACTGAGTGACAACGGTAACCAGCGGAAATTCATAGAGAAGAATATGAATCAAAAGTCAAGGAAGGCCAGAGTACCAACAGTTCTGAAAAAGGAAGGCCTTATTCTTACTACCTCACTTCCTCGGGGATAATATCAGTGAGATATTAACACAACACCTGGGGAATGCGACGGTAAAAGGAGCATTCCATGCCGCTGAAATAGGCAGTACCTCCAAAACCACCTCTATTTGCGGTCGGGAGTAAAAGATAAACTGCGTAATTTTGTCTCTTCTATGTCGGCCACCGACGCACTCCTTTACCTCGCTAAGCCAGAAATAATGCTGGTGAAGAGGAAAGGTTGGGAATGAGGCTAGCAACCTCATCCTGTAAAATAAACACTGCTACAGAAACCTCAAGCCACTAGCTTGAAGCCCTATGTTCCACTGGGGAACGTGAAGGAAAAAAAACCATTCTCACTCAGTAACTTGTTTAATAATATTGAGCTTTTCGTTAGGACATTCAGAACAGACTGTTTTTTCTCTGTGTACCAAGCACTTTATTCGATTGTGCTAGTACTTCAAGGGGTTTTCACCCGAGTGTACTAAAGCGATAAGCAATATATTTTTGAGGAAACGGTTTTTTGTCGAATTAAATTGGAAAGGTGATATGACGATGAGACAGATTGTCAACGAAGAGCCTAAGGAGGTGGATGGTTGTTTTGCTGAGGTGTTCAACTACTCAAGCATAAAAGGTTTGCACCTGAGGTAATACTCTCTGTTAACTTACCTACCAGTTTTCTACAGACACTCCAGTTTTATATCCAGTTAGGTGTACTACAAATTACCTCATCGATAGAAATGTACTGAGCTAAAAACTTTGATAAATTTAATCTTATAATTTTTCTATAGTTGGTTTGTAAGCATTGTTTTTTTACGAGTTTATCACAGATTGATATCAGTTAGAGAACCATTGAAAACCACCATGGAGTACTGCCAGACAGCTGTTTTATCCTAGTTTGAGAATCGTCGGATGGAGGTTGAACCCAAGACTAAAACTAACAAAAGAGACCATGGAGCAACTACTCAGCAACGGTGAACACCTCCCACAGCAATCAAAAACGCAACACACAAGTTGGATGGAATGCATAAACCTATGCCTAACAACGTACTTCCAATTCAACAGCCAAATATATCAACAAGTTAAAGGAACACCCATGGGATTGCCAATATCAAGTTTGATTGCAGAAACAGTGAGGAAAAGGCTCGAAAACATGATCCTTCCAAAGATCAAACCCAAAATTTGGATACGTTACGTAGATGACGTATTTGAAATGATCAAAAGAAACGGGTTGGACGATACTCACAACTTAATAAAAAAACGTCTTCAACGACATCAAATTCACAAGAGAAGAGGAACCCGAGAGCGAAATCCCATTTTTGGACGTCTTAGTCAAGCGAACAACCACGGGGGAATTAGAAACTCAAAATTATAGAAAACCAACTCACACAAACTAAGTACTCAATTAAAACAGCAACAATCCAATAACACACAAAAGAATTATATACAAACACTATTCAAGAGGGCCAGCCATGACTCATTGCGGCACTCCCTCCTCAAGGAAAATCGAAGAAAGATATCTCATGGACGTCTTCCAAAAGAATGGATTTCCACGGAATTTCATCGGAAGACATATACCCCCCCCAGCCAACTTATCAAATCGAAGACCCCCAAGGAAAGCACAAAGAAAATCGCCCTACCCCATATATAAAGGACATCTCAGAAATCACTGCAAGACTCTTCAAACCTTTAGGAATTGATGTTGCACACAAACCAACAAAATCACTTCACTCAGCTGGCTCTGTGTCAACCAAAAAACTCAACAACAAAAGAAGATAAAACCAACAACAACTGTGGAAAACACTACATTGGCCAAAGTGGACGTCCCCCTCGTCTTCGTATCCATGATCATAAACTAGCCGTCAAAAGACATGGCATCCACTCCCTCTTTCATTTTGTCTAGCTGCATACAGACAACCACGGACATCATTTCGACTGGGACAGCCAGCGTACAATTATTAGACAGAGGAAACACCGAGAATGCTAGAGGAATTTTGGAAGGCTGTATGGTATTCCAGTGAGTCGTCAATCAGTAGACACATCGAGATAGACAAAATTTATCAACCGATAGGAAAGAAACCTCACACACAAAGGGTTAAAGTTCAAGTCAAAGAAACAATCAGTTCCAATACAAGTGGCGTACAGGGTGTGAAAACGCACAAAAGCAATCAAACACGAAGTTATTCAGGGTCACACACCAGAAGAGATGACTGATAGTGAACTCGTGGAGAAATTTCCTACTAGTGCAATGAAAGCTTAGCAAATAAACTATCGAGCTCAGAGAAATTAACCATATCAAAAAAAATCCAGGATGTTCGTTTATAAAACTGAGAAGTTTTTATCAATAAAGCATAGAATTATCCTTCGTTAACATGGTGGTCGGGCTTATATGTATCAGTGACGTAATGAGCTACACTTGCTGAAGCGAATGTTCCTGCGAATCGTATCATTCTAGAAAGCCTACTCGCATAGCAGACAGACTCCAAGTAGTTATCACAATAATGTGACTCACTCTCATCAGGTTGTAGGTTAGCAGGAAGAGGTGAATTCGGTGTTCTAATGAATAAAAGTTGTGTCAGTGATTCAATGATAGATTGTGTTTTCAACTACACACTTGGTCTAAGTTCGATTCCCGGCGGACATACACCTAAACGTTGCCTAGCTGGGGTAGTAAGCCAACTAAATAGGGAAGACTGATTTTTCGGGTAGCAACACTTGACGCTCACCAACACACCGACAGTCTTTCATATTAGTTTGTTTATTAGACATATCACACAGTACAACAGCATTATGTACTGGATGACGTTTTGAACAAAATTTATTGTTCATAATCATATCAATTATAAACACACAACTTCGAAACTTGAGTTTTGTAGTTTTCTTTGTTCTCTCCTATTTGTCGTCGTAGGGGTAGTCGAGTTTACCAGATGTCCGACTGGACTAGTGTTGAATCATTCCTATTACACGTATTCTTTCAATTGATTCGGTTAATAAAGCTTCCGTTATCAATCTCTTTATCTACTCCGTTACATTAGATTTTAGAACTGTCATCTTACCCCATCCCATCCTAATGTATGGTTGGTTGTGAGTAATTGCATGTAGTGAGTGAGTGGTATAGCTGGTCTATTCCCCAGATTTCTTATCTTATTCGGGTAAACTAATCTAGATTTTACTGCCGGGGTTTATGCTCGGCTAGTCTGACTGCACCTGTTCTACTAGTTTAACCTATGTATTTGACCTGACAGTCATCGCAGGCAGGGTATTAGATGAACTAAATTGTTTTATTTTAAAGGCTCCACAGTCATGATCCGTTAACCGACAAAGCTTGTTTCTAATTTAGTTTGTGGGTTGGAATGCCAGCCACTTTTATTCCTGCCTTGTTACGAATTCTGCGTAACGTGGTTTCCGAGGTTCCTTCCTTATATGGAATTACTACTGATGATTTCGATTCCTTATCTCACTTGCAATTACACACAACCACACAACAGGATGGGATAAGATGACAGGCTTAAAATCTAATTGGAACGGGATGGAGGGAGAGATTGATAACAGAAGCTTTATTCACCGAATCAACTGAAAGAATACGTGTAATAGGAATGATTCAACACTTGTCCAGTCGGACATCTGGAAAACTCGACTACCCCAACGACGACAAATAGGAGAGAACAAAGAAAACTACAAAACTCAAGTTTCGAAGTTGTGTGTTTATAATTGATGATATGATTATGAACAATAAATTTTGTTCGCAACGTCATCCAGTACATAATACTGTTGTACTGTGTGATATGTCTAATAAACAAACTAATATGGAATTACTTACTAACAGAGTGCCCAAGTTTTACGCACATATATTAACAGCGACAGCCTCAAAGTCCTGCAAGAAGCTCATGATGTCTACTTCCTCGAAAGCAGTCGGCAATGTAATCTTCATTGTCTGAAGGCAGCGACAATAGTTGTAACGGTGGAAGACGAGACACTTGGTAAAGGAAATTCGATTTCTCTGTATGGCGAAATTATGTACATCTTATCTTCAATGCACCATTTGCACACTTCTTCCGTGTTGTACCTGCTACTTCTGCCCTCCTTTCCTATTGTGTCTCTTTATGTTCCTTTCACTTCTCCCATGTATCTGTCTCCGCAAGGCTGTATCATTTGCTATCTCTGACATCAAATCTATCTCCTTGCTATTTAACGTTTTTATGTCAATGAACGTCTGTTTATATACTACTGATAAACCTTATCAGTACCACACGCCACACCACCACTATTGAAATATCAAGTTTCCTCAAGCTTGAAACCCCTAAGTTCCCCTAGGAACGCCAAAGAATAGAAAAAATAGTGATGAATAGGTAACGGTCAGTTATGGAGGCATACTGTCCTTCCATTCTGAGAAAGGTAGGATTAGTAAACTACAGTCTATCTATAGCCATTTCAGACAAGTCACGTGTGTGACAGATCTCAAGAAGTTGTCCCTCAGACATCGCTGTCATTAAGACAATCTGTCTGTCTGTCTGCCTATTTTCGACATAGAACTTTGCACATATGTGCGGCAGTTCAAGTCGCCACACTCCCTTCATGTAGCACACAAAGCAAGAGAAGAAAGTAGGAGAAATGCATAATAGAGACAGTAAACAGAGGTGTGAGACAAAGGAATAGTAATAACGGAGAACAAAACAGTTTAATTGGAAATCATAAGTCACAAGGAGTGGATGCATCTGCACCAGCCATTGAGAACGATTTTGAGCCATGTCACCAATTGTTTCCAACCATTGGTTTTTACCGTCCCGAGGACCCCAATCAGAAAGTCTACACCTTCCTACGTGGCTGGCTTAGACTAACTGTTGTGGATTTCATTGACTGGTGCCATGTTTTCGTTTGACCGCCGCTAGCTCTTTTCCAGTCTGGCCCTATATCAGCTAACATTGCCCGTCGAGGAAGGCGATGACTAGGCATACGTAACACATGTCCTAACCATCTGAGTCAATGTAATTTCACAGTCTCGTCGACTGATTTCCCCTCCTTACCTAGCACTCGACCGATGCCTAACCTCAATATTGCTCACCTTATTATACCACTTCACGCGGGACATAGAACGCAGACACCTATGATCAAAGACAGCTGATCTTTTCATGTCTTCCGCTCTCAATGGCCAGGTCTCACAGCCATAAAGGAGGACGGAGCGGACTGATGAGCAGTACACACGCCCTTTGGTCGATAGTCGGATATCACGTCTACGCCAGAGACGGCGTAAACTGGCATATGTGAAACTAGCTCTCTGTATCCGTGCTGAGATTTCGTCAGAGAAATAAAAATGATTGTCTAAACATGTTACAACTATGAAGTACAATATTTTGAAAATTACACCAAATTTAAGAAGTAAAAATCAAAAATAGATCAGATAAACGAAAATGCAGTTAACAACAACATACCATAGTTGTTTATAAATGAGTTGTGTTCATCTGTGATCACCAGATTACATCACTTTGACAGTGAAGTATTTTGATTTAAATCCTCAAAAATATGAGGCTAATTAAAATTTTAAAAAAAATAAAATAAAAATAAAAGTAAACTACGAAGTAGATAGATGTCCAATGAGAAGACAAGAACAATTCTCTTCCCCTGAGGATACAAAACAATTTGTAGAAAAATAATGCCAGATTTCACTTAAACAAACATTTTTAGCGGTCAATTTGAATGTATTTAATTAGGTGTGTGAGGTTCTATGCATATATATATGTGCGTGTGTACATGTACGTGTTTGTGGATTGTCATGTTGGCATAATCCCACTGAAAAATAACGAGCCTGTACTTTTACCCACCTATTCAAATTATTTTCAATATTCGTCGTCGTTTAAAGTCCTCAACCTCCGCCTTGTTCTTCTTATTCTTCTCTTCTTCTGTGGTATGGATACATACATACACTTACAAATAAAGAAATATAGACATATTAAAATGGATAAACGTTCACATAATTTTAAAACAACCTCTTCTCCGTTCATATGGTAACGAAAGTAAACAATTAATCGCTACTGTTATCATTAGTATTATCAATATTTTCTTGAAAAGTGAAGGTCATCCAAACAAAAGGGATGGTGATGAGTGAAGGGATATCATCATATCATTAAACAATGCAAATTGATGCTATTTAAAGGTGGAGAGAGAGAGGGAGAAAGAGTTGGACAAGCTTCACTACTCTTACCGTGTTTAAAGTATCAGTTACTTAATAATTTTGTATAACCTTGATCAGAGATGATTATGATTATTGACAAAATCAATTTTCAATGTTTACTTCAAACCGTTTTAGTTCTAAATTTGTAGGTCGAATTAATGAATTTTTGAAATGAGTTCACCTTGATAAAACAAGGATCTCAAACCATCATTCGACTTATTTATTTATTTATTTTTACGAGTTGATCACGGATTGATATCAGTTAGAGAACCATTGAAAACCATCCAGGGAGTACTGCACAGCTGTTTCATTAGCCTAGTTTGGGAACCATTGGCAGTACGCACCCACACAGTGGGGTTCCAACTTGGGACCTTCCGGTTACACGGCAAGTTCGTTTACCACTCATACATTGGGACCCGATTCAATGGCCAGCCAGCCCATGAATTCTAACTTCTACCAATTTGTGATTTAGCGTGACCTCAACCATTGTCGTTGGTCGAACATCCATCCTCACACTTGACTGGATGGACAACAGACTGTCCCACGAACAACAGTGACTACTACTACTACTACTACCCTAGCCGGCCTTCAGTGAAGACTACAAATTCATCACTTTGTATCATTGTCTTTCCTAATTTGCCCGTCCGATATTCAGTGTGAAGTGCAATGTTGATGCTGTCGAACTGTAATCCATTCATATTGTAATTATCATTGATTCGACGTTATTTAAACAACATTAATGTTGCTTACATCACTCATTCACTATTATGTACATATATGACTGTAGAACCTGATGAAGAACGGGGTTATCGAAAGGGTGAACCTTCTTTGTACACTAACCATTCCTTTGAAAAATCAGTAAGCATTGAAAAGATGGTTGCAGTGAAGAATAATCGTTTACATCTTGATGGAGATAACTGGGAAAATATTGCTCTTAATACATTTGGGGTGGAGTGGGGGTCAGATTGTCAGAACATGAGAATTTAGCTAAGGTTAGAATGGTTGATCCCACGAAGATAAATAATTTAGAAAAAAGCTGAACACTACATTGCACTACATGCATTGACACACAACCACAAAATAGGGTGGGAGAGGGTTAAGATTCTGAGAAGTAATCTATGTAGGTGGAGAGAGAGATTGATTACTGAATCCTGCCTGGTTCATTGAGTCTACCCCCAACACATTCAACAGTAATGACTCAATCCAAATACCAGAGATACGGAAGATATTATTACCACCAGTCGGTCAAATCTGAAGAGGGTAATAAATAATCTCAAAATTCTATTTCAATTCAACCACATCACAACATTCTAAGAAGTAACTTATTATGACTATAAAAACACTCGTCTTATTTCCCATCTGATTGTAATTGGTCAATAACACTCATATTATCATTATTTCTGAATGTACATTATCTTATATTGATTTTTATTCAAATATCTAATCATCGATTTCACACATGTATATAAATGAAGGAAAAAGTTGTGTGAGTATTGCTTTGATATGATTATGAGTGACAAAAATTGGTGCTCGAAACGTGGTCATCAGTTAATAATACTGTATAACAACACTGTGTGATTTATCAAAATGAAATCTTATCTATAATGGGAAATGGTTTTCTATCCACATTCTTAGACAATATCCTAAAAGCAAAGGAAGCTTCTGGACAGGTCCAGGTCACTTCAAAAAGATACTGAAACAGAAATTTTCTGAAAATATCTTTCGAAATCACAAAGTAAAACACATTTCGCCGCGGACCCACGAATAACATTTCCTCCCACAAGAAACTATTTGGCTAGCATGAGAAAGACAAGCTATCATATTCGGTCACATAATTAGGTAAATCCTAGTTCAGTTGATTTTGTGGAGCTGAGCACATTAGCCCTACCATGAGTCAACTTGTGAAATGCTCCCGGGAACCCTATCTCAACTCTACTTGAGATGTCTTTCAATATCTTATGTAAGATCTAGTGAAACCTCTCAAAGGAAGTGAAATAAAGACATTCAGGCATAACTGAAGGACTAGTGATCTAAAATTTCAGGCAAACGCTGTGTATCCAAACGAATTACATTCAAACCTGGTCTTTACTATGGCCATCATAAACGGGAAGTCTTATCAATAATCATTATTAGTCACAGGATTTCATCATGAGCTGATATCAGTTAGTGAACCATTGGAAAACGAGCTGGGAGTATTAGACAACTATTTCGTCGTAGCTTAGGACTCTTCACAGTGCCCATCCACCCCACTGGGGTTCGGACACAGGACCTTCTGGTCACAAAGCGAGCCCGTAGACCATTAACCCTCGTGGGACCCGATACAATGGCCGGCGCATGAATTCGAAATTCCGCCATTTCACAATGTAGCGTGACCGAAACCACTAGCCAATGTCATCGCTGAAGAGTATTTGTCCTTCCACTCGAACTGCTGTCGTTGCCAGCGGGTTATAGCAGTACTCCTAAACTTTCTAATGATTCTGTAACCAATGTCAGTTCATGATGACGTCTGTTAACCGATCAAATCCCCGCAAACCAACACTTGAAATTCATTATTCGATTGCATTTCTTATCCAAAAGTGAAGTTAATTCATTCAAATCCTCCACTGTCACATTGATAATTAATCAATATATGATTACACTACCTAAGAGTACTATCAACTTACCCTCTCCCTATCACTTAAACCCTCTGTTACTTCTTCTAGTTTAGTTGACCACTCATTTCTTCATTTCTATGTCAACTTGGTATATGATCAGATTATTTGAAATGCATCTAAATTCATTAAACAGACGAACTGTTTTAATGGTTGTTATGAGAAAGAAAAAAACACGTAGATCAGCGAAGTGTCACTTTTCGGCGAATTCATTTTCTTAGCTGTACAATCGCAAATATACATGGTTGTCTTGTATGTGCGTGTACATTAAATTTGTCAAACTAAATTACAATTGGTTATGGTTATTTTAACTAAACAGGTGAAGATCAGTAATTGGAGTTACGTAATACAAAATCAGTCAAGAAAATTAGGTGTTAGTGAAATTAGGGTAGTAACAAAGGTGATGAGTTGTCACAAACAGTTGCTAAAAGAAGTTATGTAATAATATGAATAGTTTGATGAATGAGTTTTACTCAGGATGCACATAGGAACAAAGTAGATAATACGAAATTACGTAAGAGTTCTAAATGAATGCAAGAATTATAAGCAATTAAAGAACAGGCAAACAAACAAAATTAAGTCATGAAAATCAACAAAGTTGTTACCAAGACAGTAGAAGTGGTTGAGTAATCCTCTTTTATATGCACAGCCCCGGTTTTTCTATGTGAATGACCAGAGCTTCAGCGATACAAAGAAGACGAAATCTGATTGCCTTTTGTAGGTTATTCTTGACTCTGTAGATTACTGTGAAGCAGGAGGCGTTTGTTGAGATGGAATGATCTATGTTAACCAGGTGTTCAATTATCGCACTGCTTATTGCACCAATATTGCCTTCTCTCAACCATGCTGGCTGGATAGTGTTCTTGAATCCTCTTGGAAAGGGTAGGCATCTATCGATCTATGTACCTGGCTCCACAGCAGCACGTGAACTGATATATGCATATGGAAGTGGTCAGATGCAGGATATTGTCCTTGAGGCTTCTGGAGATCAGTGTGCGACTGGAGAACACTATACTTAGCGTTGCTGCAAAGATGGTATTGCAATGGGATCTCCGCTGGTTACACCACTATCGGACTGCTTCGTGGCAAGCCTCGATAAAGGTCCACTGAAGCCAAGCTTTGACAATTTGCGACTGTATAAAAGATACGTAGACGACATATTCATTATTTGTGACAACAACAATGCCCCCAATCTACTGCTGAAGACATTTAACTGTTGCCATCCAGCAATAAAATTCACTCTTGAGATGGAAAACGAGTCGAAAATTCCATTTCTTGATATGGAACTAACAAGAAGAACTGATGGGAGCCTAAGAGGATCGATCCATAGAAAACCTACTTGGAATGGTCGACTAACAAGCTTCTATAGCTGGGTACCCATTCAACAAAAGCGAAATTTAATTAAATCACTTGCCACCCTCATCCGATGCATCTGTAGTCCCGACGTTCTGGAAACAGAATTAGATATTCTAAGAGAAATTTTCATCCAAAATGGATACCCAATAAGATTCATCGACAAAAATATCAAACCAAGAATTCAGAGAAACGAAACTTAAATTGCGCCAAAAAAGAAACTCTACATGAACTTGGATTTCAAGGGAGATTTAACAAGCGATTTTCTCAAGGGAAGGATAACATCATCTCTGAGAAGAACATTCTTCTCTGCTCTTCTGACTAAGTT